CGAGTCGACGTCACATAAGAGTGAAAGCTCCCGACGCATGCTTGTTGATGGTGGACGTTGCTTAATCTGTCGACATGTCAGGTCAGTGACGAGGAGCAGGGTCCGGACGAGACGAGCCATATACTAGTCTGAAGAGGACATCAGCAACACGCTTCTCCTGAAGAGCGAGAGAATCACCAGAGTATGTGCGAATGATGAATGCCATACCGTCTGCCGTGTGAAATGAACTGATCTGGGGTTTTGGCAGAGGTCCTTATCGCCAAATCAACGGGGGCGGAATTGTCATAAGTCCCGTATAAGTCACCCTACTCGTGTCATTTATGGTTGAACCCCCTACACCCCCACGGAATTGACGCAGCCCGATATGGAGAGGTAATTGGATATTACTATTATCACTGCGTACCTGCACACCGGGTCCTTGATGGTCTATAGGCTATCGATGCTGATGGTAGTATCAATACTTGTCAGCGTGGAGCACGACCCCCGCCTTTCCCGGGGGTTGCGATAATACGGCATAGCGCCGAATAGGAATACAGATGAAATCGGAGAGTCCGCAGACTAGACAAGATGTGCGGGTGGTATCAAGTCTCGTAGAAATAGTACGACGTAGTCCGATCTGCGTGACCGCACGCTCGGGAAGCGGCAGGAGAGTTAAGCATACAGACCCTCTTCCGCTCAAGGCTGCACCACCTCATCGCCCTCCAAGGAAGAAGGGGTCAGACGTCATCGCATGGCAGAGGATGGAAGCTGAGACACGTGGGGTGCATGTCATATTACCTGCAACGCCTTGAAGTGTGTTGGAGTATCAGATGATTGATGGAGCGTCGGGAAACTTGGTCGTCCATGTCAATCGTATTGCATCTCATCAGAGACATGCTGCCGCAGATGCAGGGACAGCTGACCTCCATCCCCTCCCTCCCCCGGAAACGGAATACTCCAGGACCTCCTTCGAAAAAGTCTTCCACGTCACTCTTCGTCTGTCCTCACTCTGCTGCATCCGATCCGTCCCTGTTCGGCATCTCTGTAACCCACCAGAGGCATATCCATCCTACAGCTTACCCTATATACCATCAAGCGTGGCATCCAAGACTGTCCAAGACTTGAGCAGCTAAAGACGGCTTGCCGCACTCACATTCTGTAGATGGCCTCGTGGCTAGATTTCCGTCCCCTCTGATGGAAGAGGTCATACGAGTAACCGCCTTCCTCGTCCCACGCGGAAGGGGTCCAACGATCGATACATCAGGACGAAATTCGAGAGGTCCGCCTGCTGGGTTGGGTCAGGTCTTGTTGATGGCCTCAGGCCACTCGGGTCACGTGGTTCAGCCAGCCCCTTCTGGCACAGCATCTCAAGCTTCCCATGATGATCGTCATCACCCTCACTTTTTCCTTGGGCTTCTCATATCACCTCGTGCCCTGGAAAACACCACTCTATGGATGCCTCTTACGAGGTGAGCCCTGAAAACGCCATTCTTGGTTATCAGAGGCATCCCCACGCCCCACAGGCTGAAGTGGATGACGAGGGAGATGAACAGAGGCATTCATTATCAGACCGAAGGAGCTCCATCAGTGGAACCGGGCAGAGCCTGGGGACACCGCAGTATGAGAAATAAAAGAATAAACATGAGAACCCCCGACGACTGGAAGGATGGAAGGAGTTGATTGGAGAATGACCGCGGGGAATACTCCACCTTGCGCACAGGGACAGACGAGGAACAAGGCCATGTGGGACGCAGCCACGAGAGTATCAAGAAGACGACGGCTCTCTGCCCTTCTTGCTGTTCCGAACAACTCCCCCTCTCCATCTCATCCCACGGGACGTGTATACGGGAGCGTGGATTCCATCCATCATCCAGAGGGTCTCTGTCCATCGGGCCATCCGACCGCGATATGTGGTCTCTGCACCTCCTTGGCAAGGAACACGGAGTGAGGTAGCCGGGAAGGCGTACCGGAGAGGAGCGACGTTCGCTCTCTCCTCCGCTCGGCCCGTGCAGGCTCGCTCGACGAGCATGGTCCTGGAGGATGTAGTCTCTCGTAGACACGCAGTGCCTCCACGTAGTGCCTCCACGTAGTGAGAAGCGCTCATAGGCGGGAGCAGCATTGTGATTGGGAAGAAACGCCATGGAATAATGAGTAAGCAGGCTTGCGTCAAGTTGTAACACGAGGAGGAGGAGGAGGAGGAGGAGGAGGAGGAGGTGCTCTCGTTTCTTTCTTGAACGGTCCAATCCATCGCAGATATCATGTGCAGACGCGGCATGGGGCGCCACCAATACATGGCAGCCACGTGGTCTGGAGTGATGCTGGCCAGAAGACCTCTCGAAACCTGCCATGTGCCTCTTCCGTTCGAACCTGGACACAAAAAACAAGAGACGAGAAAAACAAAGACGGGCCTTGCCCTCTCATCGCTGCCCCTCTGTACGAAACGTCTGAATCGTAGCCGTGTGCGGTGAGGACGAGGCAACGCTGACGACGCAATGCCCAGGCTGACCTGGTCAGAGATGCGCCCGTGATGGCCACATGCTGCCCTCGCGGTCGCGCTGCTCCTCGCAGCGTCCTTCGTCGCCATCGTGGAAGCGTACAAGCCTATGCAGACCCTCATCCACCGATACCCGGGACTGCACTACACCTGGTGGACCCAGAGTGCTGCCGGCCAATGCGGCGCCGACGACCCGTCCCGCTGGGAGTACAGCAACTGCACCGACCTCATGCAGTGCACGCTGTCTAACATGGCCGACATCCTCAAGAGCGACATCGCCATCGGGACCACCATTCCCGGTCTCCTTCCCAGCATCCTGGCCGTCATGGCCATCGAACCGGACGCCCTCGTGCGCTTGTGCCTCGTGGCGCCGCATCGCGCCGTCGCCGTCGCCTCCTTCAGCTCGAGCTTCCCGGCCTCCGTCTTCTTCCACCTGCGCACTCTCCAGTCTCAGAAGAGAGCAGGTCCCCCGGGCGCCGCGAGCGGCGCCAGCAGCAGCTCCTCTGACGACTACGGTCACACCTCGCTAGTCCCGCTGGCAAACCACGACAAGCTGCAAGGTGGCGGCGGCGCGTTGTCGTGGAGACACATCTGCATCAAGCTCGCGGTCGACGCAGCGGCCGTCGTCTCCGCCGCCGCCGTCATGCGGCAGCTCTGGATCGTCAACAGAGCCGTCCTGGTGCAGTGGCGGTGCGAGTCGCCCCTGATGGTCATCACGTGGCCGATGGCGTGCATCTGGTGGCTCCCCGTGGCGGTGTCGCTGCTGTACATCATGGCAGAGGACGTGAGGTTCGAGCATGCCGTGCTGGGGACGGACTGCCGGTACACCTGGTGGCAGGTCGTCACGCTGCCGTACACGCTCGATGTAGACATTCAGAGGGAGTGGCAGCCAAGGTGGACCGGGCGGCCTAAGCTGTGGGGCGTGGAGCTACCGGTGAACCTGCCGCGGGGATTATCGTATGGCTTGCGCAGTGATGCAAAGGCCAGGGACCGCGGCGAGCGGGCTGCCCGAGCTCGGCTCCAGTGCCCCGACCCGGCGTCTATCAACAAGCACGCCGTGATCATGGTTGTCACGATGCCCGATGATTCTCTCTGGAGGACCTGGCGGTCGTACAATTTCCTCATCTCTATTCCGTCCCTTGTCATATACTTCTACGCAACCTTTGTACTGCTGAGCGCCGTGTTCATCGGTAGCGTCAACAGCATCCTGTTCTCTTCTCTGTCGTCGGGGCTGTATCTCTCCACTAGGATCCTCGTGACCATCTTCTGAGAAGATGGAGAGGCTCAAGGATCGACTTGGCCGAAACACATGGCTCGATAGTGAGCCAGATAGACAGGGAGGTCAGCGGCCGATCGAATAGACGTCGTGTCTGTTCAACATATCCTCGGACATGACATCCATGCCATCCATGCGAAGGGGAACGTGAAAACTATAAAAGGACTCCAAGGCCAGCACAATATCTTCTGGAATAGAACGAGTTCATGATTAGCCCCATGCCGCATGCATGCACGAGCCGGAGACGACAGCCCTCCAGAACTGTGACCTGCATCTGGATGGCACCTTGGTCGATGCAGTGCAGGTAACATCGCAGTCGCGCTATGCGCAGGATGAGCATCGGAACCGTCCACATGGGGTTACATCCCGAGGGATCAGGATCCTTCGACGAGCCAGATCGGGAACAAGAACTGCAACCTGAGGTGGTTGCATGGACGAGAGGCCCGATTCTGCAACTATGCCCGGGAGTAACGACGACGGCTTGGATGGTTGGGGGATGCACACACGACGGACATATAATACCGGACCCACATGATGATTTTTTTTTCCTCTTCTTCTGTAAAGGTCAACGGGATGGGTCGATTTGGTCCAGCAGAGGAAAAGACTTTTCCCGACTTCAAAGTTGCCTCCTCGTATTGAGATCGATGACGACTACGACGTGAAGGAGATGCACGGGGTAACCGGTATGAGCCGGCGGGGGGGGCCGGCTGGCGCCGCAAGGTATTCACACATATATACATGTATCATTACAACGCAACGTGCACTCCAATCCGAACAAGTACTGACCGTATCCATGCCGAGTTGACAAACAATAATATAAGCTTAGAACAAGCATAGAAATAATGTTTCTATTATACCGCATTGCAATGCCAACCGGCGAATGAGCGATGCTGGTATACATGACCCGGACCACTCAGTCCCCCCCCCCCCCGACTAGAGCTGCACGGAGACCTTGATGTCCTCCTGATCAAGTGGGGAGGCGAGAACCCGGATGGCCGTATAAGCCTGGGCAGAACTGGGGTCGGCCCTCAATCTCACAAATAGACATGTCCAGAACTCTACCATGCTCAGCATGCCAAGTGTTCTAGCTCATAAAATCCGCAGTCGAGTCATTTATACATGTGCTCCTTCAACCAGTCTCTTGGGCAATGGAAGCGTAGAGATTTGAGTCATTATCCACAACTCTCTGTTGGTCCGGGCCTCTGACCGGGGCAGGGTTCACCAGGCTTGGGAAGAAGAAGTATTGTCAATGAAGAGGGGAAAAAAGAAAGAAAAAAAGAAGAGTCCGGGAAGAAGAAAATTTCGGTGCCTTACGGCCGGGAACCAGCCTTCCTGAGATGTATATAAAGTTGTGAACATCCTTCCCACCCTCCTGTTCGTGGGAAGAAGAAGACTGTCTTCGATAGGGTACCGGTGCATCATCTCCCAATTGAACATATAGACATCTCCCACAACTTGGTCGTATCGAGAGCTATCGCCTCTCAATCCAATTCAGCAACGATGAAGTTCCAGTACGCAGTCGGTCTCGTCCCCTTCGTCTCGTCGGCGTTGGCCAACCCCGTCTCCCGAGCGGCCACGAGCACTTCCGCCGTCCTCGAGCCCGAGCACACCTCGGATCCGGAGCCGGTGTACAGCTGGTCCGACGGATGGGAGACCAAGTTCCCCATCCACCGCAGCTGCAACAGCACCCTGCGCGCCCAGCTCGAGGAGGCCCTCGATGAGACGGTCCAGCTCGCCCAGCATGCGCGCGACCACATCCTCCGCTTCGGCAACTCGTCCGACCTCGTCCAGAAGTATTTCGGCAACGGCACCACCTCCATCCCCGTCGGCTGGTATGACCGTGTCGTCGCCGCCGACAAGTCGGACATGCTGTTCCGCTGCGACGACCCCGACCGCAACTGCGAGACTCAGGATGGTATGTTGCTCAGATGATGAGTCTTGCGTGTCTTGTTTCCCGAGAGAGACGGCAGACAGAAAGATGAAAGAAGAAGAAGAAGAAGAAGAGTCCTGAAACGTGCGGTATGCTGACATCACGCGTCTGTGCGTGTGCTATACAGCTTGGGCCGGCCACCATCGCGGAGAGAATGCGACGGCCGAGACCGTCATCTGCGACCTCTCGTTCGAGATCCGCCGCCCCCTGTCCAGCGTCTGCAACCTGGGCTACACCGTCGCCGAGTCGGCCCTGAACACCTACTGGGCCACCGACCTGCTGCACCGCGTCTTCCACGTGCCCATCATCAGCGAGGACAAGGTCAGCCACTACACCGAGGACTACGCCGAGGTCATCTCGCTCGCCAAGGAGGACCCCGACAAGAGCGGCTATGACTCCGATACCCTCCAGTACTTTGCCATCGAGGCCTGGGCCTACGACATCGCCGCCCCCGGGGTCGGGTGCCCTGGAAAGCTCGCCGACAGCGACGAGGAAGAGAAGCCCACTGCTACGTCTACCAGCAAGCCCACTGCTACCTCCACCGCCAAGACTGTGAGTCGATCCTACCACGGCCGAACGATATCCTGATGAATTGCCTGCCATCCCGGATACTGACCACCTCTGTAGGAGTGCCACACCCACGATGACGGAACCGAGCACTGCACCTAAGGAGTCAACGTCGGACGCGGAGAGATAGACTCAAGATGGACGGTTTGGTCTGTCACGTCGTCGACGGATGTATTAAAGAAAATAGACACCCACTCTATAATGATAATGGACTATAACCCCCAGCAAAAGGAGAAGATGGATAGGAACGAGACATCAACCACCCCGTGACCGATGATGACCACGGTGACTATGCCGTGTAAACGCGCCTCCTGCTGTGCCGCACCTCCCAGCGGGCGAGCATTCGGCGCGGAAAGAAGTGAACTCCAATACATATACACATCCCGAGAGAGACAGACGTGTGGCCTACCGGGCTATTCAGTCCAATGGTGTACATGGCGCCCCCGCCGGCAACCGGTGCGATGAACCTGGCGCTGCTCCACGTCCAGATTGACCCACCAAACGCCATGGCCACGACAAAGGCAGGCATCTACGGCGGCGGTCAGGAGGATCCCTAGCCAGTCGACGGTCCGAAGCTTGGCCGGCAGGGGCACCCCAGCTGACGAAGGGAGCGAGGACAGGGCAGAGATGTAGACGGGGAGGGTGAAGAATGACGAGGTTGAGGTAGAAGCCCTGGGATCCTTGTCAGACTTCACATGTACCCCCCCTCCCCCCCAAGTCATAGTACTGGTACATCTGAGAGGGTAGAAACATCGCTCACCTCCTTTCTCTTCTCAGCGGGACATGGGACGGATAACACGTGTCGATTTTGGAGGAGACATCTCTGCTGTGGCTTCTGATTTCTGACGAGATCCCGACTTATACTACTGTCCAATTAGACGCCGCAGAAAACCTCGAGATGGAGTCCCCGGACGGGAGCGCCGAGTCACGGAATGGATCTGCCAGACGGATTCGACGAGGGCCGTGGAGACTGATACACCCCGGACCCTCGATCAACTCCAGGACTCCGGGTATATCAGGACGGGGACCCCTCCCTCTTGACGACCGTGAGGAATGGTCGCCATACTTGTCCTTCCTTATCTGTCTGTACAGACACTAGCAGACGCCGCATGATGGTTATTCTGATCCGGATCTATACCTTGGGGGCTTTCAGCAAACATCATCAGATCATGCATATCTACGGCCTCACATTCTCTCCTAGCTAGATGGAACGAGCAAGATCAACACAACTGCCGCAGCCCTTCCCTTTGAAGGGACTAACGCACCCGCAACATCTACAACACCTACGCACGCGTGTGAGAGCGATACCGACATCATCATCCAAAGGAGCTAGGCATGGCAAGCCAAGGTTCTCAGGTCCCGTTACCCCCTTTGGACTGCCACGATGGATTGATTATTCAACACTTTTGTCTTGTCAACTTGCGTTTTCAACCCCCACCACCATCTTGATCATGTACACATACATATATGCATAGACGAATGCACCAATCAGCATTAACGATAGACTTTGAGTATATGCCTTTTTTTATTCCAAAAAAAAAGAGAGAACAGGGACTAAATAATAATAAAAAAACTCATCCCATTCTTTGTTCATCATGGTTAACTAAGAGCTTATCTAGATCGTGTGTATATATACGTTTTTTTTCCCCGGTTGTTTTTTACATCTACCCGATATACCCAGAATTTCACATCACAACGCCGTCATCTATTGTCGTCACACATACAGCCGTAATACCACGTCCATGCTCTTTATATCTGCATGGACATGTCGCCAACATCAAAGAACCTCTCGAAGCTGTTGAACTGGTCCACCGACAGAGCCAGGTCCATAAACTCGGAGTAATACACGGGATCGTCCTGCTGACTAGGATCTAGCCAGGCGAGTTCATCGTACCTGGCATTGTGATTGCTGACAGGTGGTGGCGGTGGCGGTGGCGGCGGCGCGTTGTTCATGATACCTTTCAAGAACGGAGGGTGCTGCTGCTGCTGCTGCTGCTGCTGCATCTGGTGCATCTGGTGCATCTGATGCATCTGCTGCTGTCGCTGCATTTCCCACTGATGCTGCTGCTGCTGCATCTGATGCGGTTCGTGCCTCGCAGGAGCAGACTCCGGAGGCACCGATGCCGGTGCCGACATATCCGAGGGCACTGCCGAGGCCGGGGGGATATCCCCCCTCAGCCGACTGGCCAGCATGTCGGCGTGGCTGATCAGCCTGCGGATGATGTTGGCCGACTCGGCGGCGACGGGGAAGTCCTGGCCGTATAGGTCGAGCACGACCGTGCCCTTCTCGAGCGCGTTGCGGGCGGCCGGGGTGGAGCGGTGGATGGGGTAGGCGAGGATGAAGCCCGCGGCCGTGAGCATGGCGTTCCAGTGCCAGAAGAAGTACTCTGTCCACCCGCCCATGTTGTCCGTCTCCGTCTTGGTCTGGTGCATGACGAGGATCTGGGCGATGGCGTGGTCGACGCACAGCGAGGCGAGACGCTCGGCCACCGGCGTGTAGGTGCCCGCGTTGGAGTAGAAGGTGATGAAGGGCCGGCACAGGTAGAGCACCTGGGTGTGGTACATGATCTCGAGGCAGATGCGCTGGCGCTGCAGCCAGGTCGGGGCCAGCGGGTCCATGTCGAGCATCGCCCGATCCGTCGAGAGGGGCTCCCCCCCGCCGCGGTGCGGCATCTTCAGCCCCGAGGGCACCTGGCCCACCCAGGCCTTGAGGGAGGGCAGCTGTGCGGCCACGACCTCTGCGCATGTCTCGAGCACGCGCGGGTCCTTGTACGGCGACGAGAGGCCGCTCGCCTGGAGGACCTCGCCGAACTTGGTATACAGCGACGAGTGGATGTCGTACGCCGTCGTGATCAGCTTGCCCATGTGCACCGCGTACGACAGCCAGGTGACGTCGCCATAGCTGCCCAGCGTCGCGCCGTTGGCCGTGGCAGCCTCGACGCTGTCCGACGGGGGGCTGACGCCGAGCTGCGACCGGTCAATGGCCGGGAGGCGTCCGTGCTTGGCCGCCGTCTTGGCCTCGTTGAACCACAGGCACCACCAGATCCGCTTGCGCAGCTCCCTCTCGGCCAGGGGCATGCTGGCGGGGGGCTCCACGTGCAGGCCCAGCACTTGTGCCATCCGCACCGTCTGCGCCATGGAGCCGTGCGACATGTTGTGGAACGACGCGCAGCACAGGTACATGAGCGACAGTATGTGCGCCTGCACCGTCGAGATGGTCGGGCTCTCGAGCTCGCCCGAGAGCAGGGATTTCGCGCGGTGGAAGTAGTTGCGGCCGGCCATGGTCGGATCCTCGGGGACCCGGGCAGCATTGTTGGGCGGCGAGCTGGACGAGGCCGAAGGTTTGGTGATGAAGGTGTAGCCGAACTGCAGGCACACGGCGAGGGCCATGTCGACGAGGGCCGAGTTCTTGCGGTGCTGCCTCGTGGGCGGCTCCCACAGGGAAGCATAGTGTCTCCGGAAGTCGGTCTCATCGAGGATGGGCAGCAGACAGTGGAACGACTCCCACAGCAGGCCGAGGAAGTACTCTTCCTGCCTGCGGCTCATGAAAGGCTTCCTGCTGATATCCCCCAGCGTAGGGCTCATCCCCTTGGGCCTGGCGCCGACGCCGACGCCGACGCCGCCGTCGCCGCCGCCGCCGGTCTGCTCTGCTGCCTCCCTGGGATCGACAAAGGCGACGTTGCGACGTGCCTCGCCGCGCGGCTGTAGGCTTCGCGTGCCGAGCGACGTGTTGAACGACTTGTCGAGGTACGATCCGATGCGGGCGACGAAGTAGAAGTGCGACGAAGGGCCGTAGTATGACTTCTGGTTGTCGTCGCGCGACGTTGCCACGTAGACGCCCTCCCACTGTGGCCTGTACGTGGGAAGGGGGCTGAGGCCGCCGCCGGGGATGAGAGATGGGGGCTGGTGCGCCGGGCTGCTGGTGTAGCTGCCGTTGCCCTGCGCCGCCACGGGGCGCCCGTCGGTCCTGGCCGAGATGGGCGAGGCGCCGATGGAGGTCTCGCTGGGCGTGGGTATGCTTGCCGGTGCTCGTGAGCTGAGCTCTCCCTCGAGAGCCTTGACATGGGCTTTGAGCTTATCGATCTCCCTGTCTCGTCCTCCCCACGGACGCTTCTGTCACTATGATGACACGCAGAGAGCAATTGGCCACGGCCGCGATCCTCCTATGCGAGGAACGGAGGGGAGAGGGGAGGGGAGGAAACCCACCTTAGTGCCTGGGGAAGAGTCCGGGGCTCGTCGGTCCCCTTGTGCGTGCATTGTGCATCCCGCTGCCTGCAGGCCCTGCAGGGTCTTCCATTGTCGCATTTGATTCTCCTCGCGCGACACCAGTCACATGCTCTCGACACCTGCTTGCGCGTCGGTCTGACGGGGGCTTCCGGTGCTGTCGTGTCCTGGATTGTCGGTGCTGCCGGCTTCGGATGCTGGGCAAAGGTAGGAAACATGATTGCTTTTTTGCCCCCCCCCTCTTCCTTCCTAAACGGTAGGGCCGACCGAAAGCTTTTTTTTTCTTTTTTTTTCTTCTTATTGTCACCGCTTCCACGTTGAATCTAAAGGGGATGAGACGTGTTGTTGGCCGTCCCACTCTGGATTATTGATTATTACTTGCTGCAACCTGGGATAGTTTGTGTGACAGAACAAATGGTATTGGTAGAATCGGTGACGAGACATTTGGGGGAGGGGGGGGGGGGTTGCTCAGTTGGCTGAAGTGGCAGCCACACTACGAGAGTGTGAGAGTAAAGCCTAAACTCCTCTAACTCCGAAACTCCGACCCGCTGATGAATCACCTTTTTTGGTGTGTTCCAACAGAACTGCGGCGAATAATGAATTGCTAAGCAAGACGGCACTGATTAGGAGAAAAATCGCTGGGCTTTCTCTGTTGAACCCCACGATTTGATACTGCGCGCTTTTTAAGCTCTGGGTTTATCATTTTTCCACTCCACGTGAACCTTTTATTTCCGGGTCGTGGGATGGGTTACTCTGAGTACTCGTATTGTAGCAATATATGAATTATATATCAGCGCAAGAGGTAATACCCGTTGTATCGTGTGTGATGGCCTGATGTATATAAAGAGGTCTGATCAGCATGTCCATTTATTGAAGCGTGAATATATAGAGTAGAATGTCCGATATTCTTGAGCGTAATGATATTACTCGGTTGACCTGTAAAGTGGCCACAATGTCATTTTGCCAAGGTGAAGGTGGCGCCGACCATCATGACGAATCGTAGTCACCAGCCACAGGCATGGAGTGCTGCTGGCAGCCACTTGCCTCCTAAACGGAAAGATGAGGCTTGCTGGTATTACTGGAAACAGCTTCGAAGAAGCCAAACATCGCTCTTGCTCAGAGCACAATCGGGACCATATGTCAAGGCCAGAACATCTCTATTTTTTCGTCTATGCAAATTTCCCATATATATAAAAAAAAGGTGAGTATAAAGCAGATAGAATAAGAGGGGGAAAAAAAAGTCTTCCCAGGACGAAGCTGCTCAAGAGATTCAAGCTCATGATGCAACTATCCTGATATCTACACGCGTTCTAGAAGGGGGATATACAATGAGAGCGTGTGTGTGTGTGAAAAGAGAGAGAGAAAAGAAAAAGGGATTCGATGTTTTTTTTTTTTTTTTTTTTTTTTTTTGGTTTGTCTTGTTTCGGCGTGTCTCGTAAGAAGAAGCGGATGCGGGTAGAGCTTTACAGCTTGTTCTTGGAGGGACGGTCCGAGGTATCGGAGACGAGGGTCGGGATCTCGTCGACGGTCCTCTCACCCTTGAGGATGCCGTTGACAGCGGCGAAGAGGGGGTAGTCGGCGACGCGGCCGCGGGCGGCGAGGAAGCTGTAGACCTCGAAGGCGGTCGAGGTTCCCTGGAGCATCTGGCCGTTGAGCTCGTCGCGCTCGACATCCTGGACGGAGATGCCCTTGGCGGTGGCGGTGCGGGCGCAGCGGAAGTTGCGGCCGCCGGAGCTCGAGGTGATGAGGTCGGCGACGCCGGCCGAGGTCTCGGTAAAGGTCTCGGCCAGGGCCGTCTCACCGAAGAACTCGGTGCCGAACCTGACCATCTCCATGAGGCCGATGCGCATGATGGCCGCCTTGGCGTTGTCTCCCCAGCCGCGGCCGTCGACGAAGCCGGCGGCGAGGGCGACGATGTTCTTCAGGGCACCGCCCAGCGAGACGCCGGCGACGTCCGAGACCATCTGCACGTGGAAGTAGGGGCGGTGGAAGAGGATGCCGAAGAGCTCGTGGTCCATCGACGGGTACTGGACGGGGACGGGGACCAGGGTGACCTTGCTCTTGCGGCCGCGGACGTCGCGGTGCTCCAGGTCGGGCGCCTCGGCGACGCCGGCGGCCGGGCTGGCGTTGCGGGTGGCGGCCGGGGTGGCGGCCGGGGTGTCTATCACCGGAGGGGCGTAGGCGATGGTCGTCTCCGACCACTTCTCGCGGGCGATCTCGCTGGCAATGTTGGCACCGCTCAGGGCGCCGCAGTAGATGCCGAGGTCCTCGCCGATCCACTCGCTGAACAGGCTGACGTCCTGGTCCGACACGTGGACGCCCTTGATGCAGCTGATGCCGCGGGCGTAGGGCAGGATGTGGCCGCGCAGACCCTGGCAGATCCTGCGGATGAACTGGTGGGGCAGGTTGAAGATCAGGATGGACGAGTCCTTGACGGCATCCTCGAGCGAGGGGTTGGCCACCAGGTTGTCGGGGAGGGCGATGCCGGGCAGGTACTTGACGTTCTCGTGCACACGGTTGATGACCTCGGTGATCTTCTGGGGCTTGTCACCGATGGACTCGTCGTAGTGCTTCGACTCCTTGGGGATCTGAATCTCCTCCTCGTACACCCACATCTGCACCTTCTCCTCGAACAGGTTAGGGTTCTCGCGCGTGTTCTCGGCGACGATCTTGGCGATGGTCGAGCCCCTGGATGGTGACATGCGTCGTCAGCTATTGTGCTCTTCTTCTTCTTCTCTGTCGACATCCTGTCCTCCCGCCTCTCTCCTGATGGTGCCTGGGAGTGGTGGGACTTTACCAGTTACCGGAGCCGACGACCGTCACCTTGTGCTTCTTCTCGTACGTGCCAGTCATGATGGACGGGTTGTGCAGTGTGAAAGTTGAGTAGAGTCGGGTATATGGATTGATGACAGAGGAATACCTGACACTTTTAGAAGAGTGGTGGAGAATAGTTCGAAGCATCAAGAATGGAGGAAGGAGGAGGGGGGTCAGCGGGGTTTTTAAACGCGAGAGGCTTTCTCGGTTGATTGGGGGGGGGGGGCGCACTTGCTGGTCCGGAGAGAGAGATGATGGCACTCGCAAAACGTATCGGGGGATGAGGGGCGATGTCAGCGAGTAGCGATTAGGCGCAGAGAGTATTGCTGCAGACTTATCGCAGCGTAATGCTAACGGAGCAAGGTAATGCTGCGTGTAGTATGTCGTAGGTCTCGTCAACAGTGACGCCACCGTGTATGCGCAGTCTGTAGGTGTCCCCGTTTAAAACTGGAGTTGATGGTGGCTACAGCCTGAGACGAGTAATACTAATACTAATTAATCGATACATGCCACGGCTAGTCCTCCTGTAATATTGCTGCTAGTAGTCGTCCGGTTCGAGTACGAATGCTCGTAGTAGAATAGCTTGCAGCACTCATGTATCTCTACGGAGACTCCGTTTAAAACTGGAGTAGAGTGGACAGGCGAGCAGAATTTTCCTCCTGCGCAATGACTCTCACCGCTTGCCTAAAGCGTTCGCAATGACGCATGCGCCCCTCTTCCTCGCTCTACTCTCTCTCCTCTCTCTCTCTCTATCCTTCTCCGAACTATCACCAAGGTACCGCTGCTACGCTACCGCTACTGCTACTAGTGGTAATTCCGGCACACCACATGCACGGCGTACTCTGAGCATGCAGCCGCATCGTCACGACATAGGCTGTATTATGGAGTACTCCTGCGGCGAGTCTCTACCAATGCCTGGACGTGGGTCTCGGTCACCTTGCGTTGCCGCGGCTCTGCGAGGTGCCACGGCCCATCCAGCACCTCTCGGGCCGCATCCTCATCCTATCAGATATGCGCAACCGTCATGATAGGATGCATCTTGGCAGGGGGCTGTTGCACCTTCATGTGTCATGTTCCACCCGCCGTTCCACAGATGTTCCTGGGAGCGGTGGAGGCTCTTCCGAACCGTCGCCTACCACGGTCCCACGTACACACGTCGCAGTCCCGGACCAAGAGAGGAAAAAAAAAAATAGTTCAACGGGTTCAGAGAAGGAATAGAAAGGAGAGAAGAGAAGAAGAAAAAATCGTCATTTCCCGCGAGTGCCGCAAGGGGCCCCCTCCCCCCTCGTGGACGACGGGTATCTACGGGTACATCACTATTCACATTGCTACGCTACATCCTGTAGCAGTTACTAATCGGCTTCCTACATCCGTCTCGACGGAGTGCAGGAACAGGCAACCCGAGGAGAGGTCCCTCTACCCAAGCATGCGGGTTGCTGTCTTGCCGGAGACCATCGCTGCTGCTATTACTCTACTGGTAGCATGGCAGTATCATGGCAGCACCATCCACGCCCTGTCGGAGAGAAGGGCATACTGCATCGCATCACATGGTCATTGTAGATGTCGTAGATGCCGACGTATCATCACAGATCAACAGTGCCGTTACCTGTATTGCACGACGACCGGCAGCACGTTGACGTGACAAAATACCGCACCCTGTCAGCCAAGGGCAATACGATGCCTGCCGTGTCAGCAGAGATCGTTGTGAGATGGACGCCAGACTACGTGAAGGACGGAGGAGAGAGCTTCTACTTCTCCCTCCTACGCCGTCGACATGAATCTCTTTTTGTCCACCATCCGCGTGTAGCGAGCAGCAGGGTCACTCTTGGTGGGGCATCGTGTCCACCGGCAACTGACGGCAGAACCCCGTACCTACGTCACTCTTGAAGCCTTTGTAGCGCTCCGCGCGTCATGGCGGAAAAGAAATGAGGCAAGTACAGAAAGATCGGATACAAGTGTTGCTTCCTGGAGGAGGACAGCTGCTGAGATTGGATACGCGAGAACACGACGAGGACAGCCCCTGAGAATAGCATGCACATGCCGGCGTTACGTGCCATGCTGGGAGAAGTTTGTGGAGGGACGGATGGGACCCTTGTCCTGGTTGGACCCCTACTGACAGACTCGCCGCACGCAGAGACATTGTGTTGCGTGTGTAGATGGTACCGATGTACAGTGTGCGAACACTCGCCGCTCTCCTCACAAGGGGAGGAAGGGAAGGGGGAGCCTCAACTCAAGGCCAAGAGTCCGATTGAGATGTCTACATCACCAGATCACCAGTAGTGGTGGTACTGCTACTTGCTACTTGCTACTACTACTACTACGACTACGACTACGACTACTCACGACTACCCACGACCGACTGCACAGTCTTACCTGCTTCTCTTCAAGGGAGAAGAGAAAGAGAAGAAGACGTCAAGACCCTAGGAAACCCACCGACTACGTCAGAGGAGTCGTCCGCAGATTGACAGTGGGGTTGAGCATCTATTGATACGAAGAGGAGGAGGCCTTATTCGGCTACGTAACAGGGACTCTGGGCCGATCTGTGGTAATACGGAGTAACAGTATGGACCGCAGCTGCACCCCATTCTGCGCAATCCGCCCCTCTTGCTGCAGTGTTACTCCGTAAAACCACATGTACGTCTGGGCCTTTTGAGCGAATAGAACTGGTGGGGGGGGGAAAGTTGTTGAAGAGAATGTGCTGCCTTGCGCGAAGCCTCTACGGACTACCATCGGTAAACACTCTTCTTCCCTCTCTCTCGTTTCCCGAGTCAGAGAGAGGAGAAGCAAGAGTGCAGATACAGATTAGATACGAAGAGGCTCAAGAAATGCCAAGGGCTTGGCCTCCGTAAGGCTCAGGGACATCCGCCAGCAGAGATTTTCCCGTACACGTAATTACATGGAATGGATGTATACGTACCTGGTACCTTGATTCTTCGTCCCTTGTTGGCAAACTGCTCCCTGTTCCCCCCGTCCCCCCCTCCCCACTCACCCACCCACTTCATCATCTCTCACCCGTCCATGCAGGCTGCTAGCAGCAGAGCAGCATGGATGGGAAATGCGGTTGCAGTCGCCGCCGTAACCCATAACCAACAGACTCGGAGCGATAGGTGACAACCGTCATGACACGGCCAGGGCTGCCTGATGGATTGGCGGTGTTGATAAGTCTACGGATTATACGCATCCTAGACGGGAATTCTCGTAACGTCATTCCCGCAACCAGCCGGTACGTACGTTGCATTGATGTTATCGTCTCTTCTTCTCCTCTCCTTCCTTTCTTTTTCTTCTTCTCTCTTCATCTTGTCAGGCCTCCGTGAGATGTGGCAAGACGGTCACCTCGGGGAGAGACGACGACAGCGATCGTTGCGACCCTTACAGAGTTCGGCAACTACAAAAGTACTGCCACGCACACCATCGTTGTCTTTCCTTTTTTTTTTTTTTTAAGCGCCATCTCCGTCGAACGGGAGATTCATGTCCCTGTTTTGAAAGAATGAAAATGAAAATGAGATGAGAGAAAAAAAGAAAAGATTTCATGTGCTACCGCTACTGTCGATGCTAGTAGCATTGACATTCTGAAACAACCGCCGTAGTATTTTAGGGTTTGCAGCGGTAATTTCGCCGAGTCATGATCTATCACTACGAGGTATTCTCGGTCCGCTGTAACGGGGAGGGAAAAAAATGGAAATTTTTCTCTCTTTTCAATCTCTAACCGCGTCTCGGTGACGTGGTGGTTGCATGAGGGTGGAGATGAGTCGTGGAACTTCCATCTTGTCGGCCCGCAAGTAATACAGGAGCTGATCTAGCATTTTGGGTGTCGCCGAACATCCATCTGTTCTTCTTCTTGGGTGCAAGTACATGAGTCAAAGAAAGTACGGTAAACTGCCATGGGGGGGGGGGGGGGTTTCTAATTTTTTATTTTTTTTTAATATACGCTCTAATCTATCATCAGAGTTTTGCCTACTCCTTCCAAGAACTCTTCTCTCTTTTCTGTCCCTCACTCCTGTGTTCGCTCCCCATCACCAAACACCGGCTTGAAGATGCAGTCGTAGGCGACCCAGAGGATGTTGAAGACGGCATTCATGAGGGTCGCCACCGCAGGCCGGTAAGTCCCATCCCTGTAGGCCGTCGCCTGCGCCAGCGCCATGAGGGTGAGGATCACGGGCCCGCACGACGCGAGGAAGACGACGCGACCTATCTCCTGCATCGCCGTCGTCCTCCTGTACGCCTGCAGGTCGCCGAGGTACCTCTGGTAGGCGGCCGGGAGGTTGTGCTCGTCGGCGCCGTCACGTAGCAGCTTGAGATAACGCGGGCTGGGCTGGGCGTAGTCCGGCTCTCGTCTCTGGCGGCCGCCGAATATCCTGGCGAGCAGCGGTCTCTCCCTGGTCGGCTTCCCGTCGTCGTCGTCGTCGTCGTCGTCGTCGCCGCCGCCGCCCTCGGTCAGGCGGTACGGCATGTAGAGCGTCCTGGCCAAGACGGGCCTGGGCAGCTCCGGGATCGGCGACGGGTCCCCCACGCTCACGTCCGGCGGCAGAGGCACGCACGGCACCACGATCTCCTTGTACCCCGTGCCGCCGCCCTCGGTGCGGATGATGGCGGCGTAGTCCTCCCTCGTCACCTCGTACACGACGCCCATCAGGCTGCCGTCCCACACGCCGTGGGCGTACGCCGGAGGGTCGAACGGCGGCGGCGACGGGAACTTGGGGCCGTCCGGCAGCTTGGGGAGCTTCTTCCTGATGACCACATTGGCAAAGCACGGCTCCTCGTACGGGATGCCGGACAGGTTAAACGACAGCTTCAGCGTCGGCGCCGACACGTTGACCTGCGACAGCGGCCTCACTCCGCGCTTGCCGAGAAACGTCTCGGCGCACATGTTGGACCCGTACGCGAGGTATAGGACCGTGTCGCCAGCCTCTGCTCGCGTCTTCTCAGTTGCCTGCGCGAACTCCTGCGTGGCTCGCATCAGGCGCGCGGTTGACGTCTGTGGCATCTTGGCGACGACGGCATCGTGGTGGTGGTGGTGGTGGTGGGAGGACGGCGGCGCCATGTCCCTTGCGCGTGTTGTCATTGTCATTGTAGTTGTAGTTGTAGTTGTTGTAGCTGTGGTAGTTGTTGTTGTTGTCGTCGTCGTTGTCGTCGCTGTTGTTGTCGTTGTTGTTACTGCTGCTGCTGCTGCTGCTGCTGTTGTCAGTAATGACTGGGAATCTCCTGACAGATGCGCCTTTTCGATATATCTTCCATACCCTCACGACATCATGGCAGAGATGCTGTCCGCCTGGAAATAAAAAGGCAATAGCAGCGTGATGGTGAGGGGATTGGGATCGATGTTAACACGTTGACGAAGCCTGCGGAGCATCGGTGGTGACGGGTCATCGGGCCTTTTGATGTCTTATTAGTTATTATTACCAGACACGACCAAAACTCCAACGGTCGCAGCATCTCCGTTATTTCCACCTCTGAGGAGGGGCCGTCGGACTATGACTAATGAGCTTCACCTACTAACACCGCGAGATGATGCATCCCTTCTTCATCTGGTATCGGTATCGATATGTCGACTCTGCTAAGAGATTTCAGATGCCCGTGAGGGCTGGATCTCCTTGCTCCTTGCGTCCTTTTTTACGTCAGCGCATCCCTGCCTGGACAGTGCAGGAACATGTCTCTCTCTGGAGAAGGCACGGAGGCCGGGATCTGACAGATTTGAAGCCCCAAGCATCCTTCTTTCCAACGTGCACATAATACACCCTTTCAACCCCCGACCCCCAACCCTTTCACGACTTGTCCTTCCACCTTCCATATATAGATACTGCATGACGCGACTAAAACACTGTGGAGGCATCATGATCCTCACGAAAAAAAAANGGGGGGGGGGGGGGGGAAACGAGTCGGAACCTCTGAAGAGGCGTCCCAATCACGTACTATATATATAGTCTGGTCTATAGATCAACCCGCTCAGAGCAAGCTCTAGGATACCATTTCCAACACGTTACAGGGCGATGAGGATGACGCCATTATCCTATGAGTTTACCGGCCTCGTCGACGAGCTGTCGAAGCCTCCGATAAACGGGGTGGCAGATACGCAATGTGAGGCCTCAGCACGGCCCGCCAACTGACAGCATATCGTAAGCGACGAGGTACTTTGCTGGCGCCGCTCGTAGCAGGCCGTGACTATCAGTACTGTCAGAGACCTCAACGGATACTTCAGGAACGTCAAGAGCCGGGATGATGACCGATGATGACCGGTGTCCGCTCACGGGAGCTTTGTATCAGGACACCCGCACCCGTCGTTTGCCAACACTACTTGCTGCACTATCTGTACCTCCGAGGACGCTGTCGCCCGTTCCCTCGAGGCGCCCCATCTCTGTCAAGTGGAGATATCATGCATGTGCTCTTGCGAGAGATCGACTTTATCGACGGTCAAGACGTGCATATGGACACACCATATCAGATGCCGGCCGGCCCAGGCCCCCCTAGATTACGAACCGACCTCTGCCATCGCGCTATGTAAATGCGTACATGTAGAGACATCGTTGAAGAGTGGGTGGAGGGTTTCCGTGATGGAAGAAGAAGAGTGAAAATGAAATAAAACGGCTAGCCGTCTAGAAAACCGCAAGATGGGCCGGGACGTGGGCGCGCCGTTGTAGTGAACGACCCCCCGCGGCCGATATCTTCAAACACATGCCGGGAAACGTCGAGGTTCCTCTACCTACGACATTAGCACTGTTCACGGCTGGCACTTGCCAGTACTAAATCAAGCACAATGGCCGTCGCACTCGTGGAAGTCATGTCCAGATTCCCCTCGTGGGTACCCGGGTCATCCATGGTAGTCAACGCCCTAGTATCGATGCTTTCCTTCAGTACAGCGTCGGTAAATCATCTCATTCTTCTTCTTCTTCTTCTTTTTCGCGCGATCGGACGTGATCGTGATTCAACTCTAGGTCCTCGGCTACGATGCGTCGATGATGAATGCATTCAATATTCTGCCCTCGTACACCGAGTACTTCTCCTTGACGGCGGCCACGATTGGACTAAACTCCGGCATCGTCTGGATCGGCGCCTGCGTCGGCAGTCTGGCCCCGATCAAGCTGCCTGACCATATCGGCCGCAAACCCGCGCTGTTCTACTCGGCCATGGTATCCATGATTGGGAGTGCTCTGCAGACCGGCTCGCAAGACATTGCCATGTTCCTCGTTGCCAGGTTCATCCTAGGCGTCGGTGTCGGCGGCACGTACGTTGCTGAGCCGATTCTCATCACCGAGACGCTGCCGACCAAGTACCGTGCCTTGGGGCTGGGTGCCTTTACTGACGTCTACTATGTCGGCGGTCTGATGTCCTCCGGTATGCACTTCTCTCTTCTCCTCCGTTTCTTCTTTTCTTCTTTTTTGTTCCTCTCTTGGAACCCTGCTCGTTTCCTTTGATCAACCATGCGGGGGATGGGTGTACTTGGGCTAACGTGGGCGTGAATTTTTATTTTTATTTTTACAAAAGGTATCACATACGGAACGGCCAAGATTTCATCGACCTGGGCCTGGCGCGTACCGTCTCTGCTGCAGCTCGTCTTCACCATCGTCTCGGTGGCGACGCTGCCGTGGATCCCCGAGTCACCTCGCTACCTAGCGCACCGAGCCAGGCTGGACGAGGCGCTGAAGGCCATCGCCCAGGCGTGCTCGGATGGCGACCTGTCGGATACCGAGTCGCAGGCGCAGCTGCTCCAGATGACGCAGTCGCTCAAGTTTGAGCTGAACATTGAGGAACCGTCGGTCTGGGAGATTGCGCGGAACCCGGCGCTGCGGAAGCCCATCATCATCGTCTTCACCGTGGCCGTCGTCACCATGATGGCCGGGTCCAACATCTTCTCGTACTACCTGGGTACGTCTCTGACCAACGCAGGAATCACCGACCCGACGACGCAGCTCGAGATCAGCATCATCCTGAACGCTTTCTGCCTCGTCGTCTCCGTCGTCGGCACCTTTCTGGCCGACAGCCTGGGCCGCAAGCAGCTGGCCCTCATCTCGACGGCCGGCTGCACGGTCTTTCTGTTCATCATCGGAGCCCTGGCCAGGTACTACGGCACATCGACTAACGAGACGGCCATCTACGCCAGCATCGCCATGATGTTCCTCGCCCAGGGCTTCTACTCGTTCGGCTGGACCCCACTGGCCACCATGTATCCCCCCGAGGTCCTCAACTACCAGATCCGCAGCGTAGGCATGAGCTGGTTCGTCACCTGGCAGAACCTCGTCCTCCTCGTCCCCATCTTTGCCTACCCCGTCGCCGTCGAGAGCATCGGATGGATCATCTACATGATCAACGGCGCCTTCGACTTCCTCGCCCTGTTCGCCATCGCCTTCTACTGGGTCGAGACCAGAAACCTGTCCCTCGAGGCTGCCAAGCTGTTTGATCCCCGCGTCGAGGCAGAGATCATAGACATCGAGGCTACCGTCCAGAAGATCGAGCCCGGGTCCGTGAATATCATCGACGAAACTGTCCGTGAAACTAAAGCTGCTGCTGGTGACGCTTATGGAAGTCCTTGATTAGTCAAGTAGTCAGCCCTATGTTTGTTTTTCTCCCGCTCGCATGTAATATTATCGTGTTGATAGCCTGAGGCCACATGGTCTCGTGGACCAGCCAGCCCTTGTTTTCCCACATCTCACATTTTGCAGTAGCCAGCTAATTGACATCATCATCATCATCATCACCCTCATTTCTTCAGAGCCCCGTGCCACCTTCGTGCCTCAACACGTCGTATTTGGTCATCATGTGCCGGTTTCCTTCCTTCTAGCTAGATGACAACAATCATCTTCACACACACACACACACACACACACACACACACAAACCAGCAGACCACGATACATCATAGAAATGATTTAATCATCCACGACGCGCCCTCCCAGCGCCGCACTTGATCCGTTTCGCAACATATGAGGTAGCGATGCCAACAATCAGCGGCAGGGGACCATCGCAAGTCTTCTAGTGACGCTACCCGGTATTAATATCCCAGCAGACTTCAGCCTTCATCTACTGAATAGAAGGAGCAATGTGGCGCACAAACTTCTCTACATGCGCTCGGCCTGCCGCTTCGAGACGCACATTGGTCTCTATGAGTTCTTCCGGGACTGGTGTCCGTCCGCACGGTCGAACAAGTAGGAACGTATAAAGTCGAGACGGTTGAAGTCGATCATTTCCAACTCTTAACTCGCCATATTGTCAACAATTCACTAGACCAAAAAGCTTGGACCGCAGCCTTCGACATTGTCTACACTCTTGATCCGCTACCGCCACCGCTACCTTCATAGAGACGCCTATTGACCGAGCTCGAATCAACCTGTAGATGGCCAAGCACGCGAGGCCGTTGAGAAGACACTTTTCTTCAACATGAAAGATGCACCTTTGGTAACGTTGGTGGCTTCTTCGACAAATTCTTCAACCCCGATAGCTGGAGCAAAGAATAAAAACAAATGCTCGCTCTTCCTTACATGTCTCAGCATAACATCAGGCAAGCATCCACATATTGCTCGCAGAGGCGTCATCATGGGCCTGACACAAAGGGCCTCAAGGCACAAGGTCTGCACGGTCTCTGCATCAATTGAATGGTATGAAGGTACTGAGTTTGGGTGGCGGGACGGTCCGGGGAGAAGGCGTACCAAAAACCCAATAAAGAGGAAGAGGAGTTGGTATTGGGACATGAAAGAAGAATTTCCAGCACCGACCGCACTCGTGAAAATGATTTATCTTGTCTGAATTTCCGATCTCACAGCTGTATCAGTCACAAGACTACAAAGATGAACTTGTCAGAGGCGCGGGGGAACGAAGGGATGGACTGTCTATGCAAAACAGTAGGTCATCAACGGAGTCTCAAGGAACAAGAGGAAAGTGAAGAGGTCTGCCATAAAGAGACGAAGAGTATGGGTCGATCCAAAAGGTGTATCCATCTCTGGTCGTCCTGAACTATACTGCAGATACTCTGCCTTATATAGATATATTGCTACATGGCTGGCTACTTTCATCTATAATGACACCATGGCCATATCTCTCCGAGACTCTTCTGTCTTCATCTAGAGACTTCACCTCTGACCGATGACAAGGGGGGCTGTACGGAATCGGGGCGAAAAGATCTCGAAAGCAGTACATAAGTAGTTACTGACCCCGGTTCCATCAAGGAATAGGATAAAGATCAATACACATCTTGTCACTAGTGTTTTCATCACTATGATGCTTCTATCGCGCCTCTATATGCAGACCTTGTCACTCATCTCCCTACCCCTATCAGACTCGTTGCCTGACAGGAAGGAAAACACTAAAGGAAAGGGGACTTTATAGCCACTATCACATCGCAGGTAGCCTCAGGTCTGGCTGGGAGACGGTGTTGATGGACCGAGGCTACAGGCTACGTGGTATGGCCAGCCCTCGATGCCTACCTTACATCTGAGGCTGGAGGCTAGGTTAGATGGATGGTTGTCATCACATCTTCTCTCTCAAGGCCACCTTTGTCCCATCAACAAGATTTTTGGTTTGTGGAGTCTAGGGTACAGAGTACGATGGCTCACTCTCAATCCATAACAGGTCACAAACCCGATCTATCGTTCTGCAGCATGTCCAGATTCCGCGGTGTGGAGCAGCTCATCGGGGAGCTCACCCTCGAAGAGAAGGTTTCGCTACTGGCAAGAGCGGACATGTGGCAGAAACAAGAGATCGCTCGCCTGGGCATGGGACCTATCAAGTTCGACTAATCCCCAACCCCCCCAAATGGCCTTATTCCCCGCTAGTACATCACTATTATTGCAGATGCCATTACTCTGGAGAAGAAGAGCGATTACTCGATCATTGTCCTCGGTCTAGACAGTGACTGGGAAAGCGAGGGATACGACCGAAAGTCAATGGCTCTCCCGGGAAAACAGGACGACCTCGTCCACTCCCTCCTTACCAAATGCCAAAACCCAGAGCGCATCATTATTGTCAATACTTCTGGGTCGCCGGTCGAGTTCCCCTGGGGAAGAGAACGCCCGGACGCCTCTCCAAGCTTGGTACGGGGATCAAGAGGCAGGAGATTCCCCGGCAGATGTTCTCTTTAGTCAGGAAAACCCTTCGGGCCGCCTGCCAGTCTCCTGGGCCGGGAAATACTCTGATCTTCCGTTTGAGGCTGATGAGAGGGCGTGGCTCGGGGTTGCTGGAAAGGTATACTACAGGGAAAGGACGCAAGTAGGATACCGACATTTCCTCCGCGACAGCGTCAAGTCCCTATATTAGTTCGGGCACGGCTTGAGCTATACAGAGTTCTCCCAAAATCTCTACAATGCCATTGAGGGTCCGGTATTTTGGGCTATCTGCTGCCACTGTCAAGAACACTGGTCCTCTTCCAAGTGAAGAGGTAGTCCAGGTTTATGGGTGGCCCACTGCGGACACAACCTCTCGGATGCTGATATCATTCGATAAAACACATACTCTTGTGCCAGGGGAGAGCACTTCGGTCGAACTGAACTGTCAAAAAGCGAGATGTGGATCAATGGAAAGACGGAAATTGGGTGTTGGAAGAAGGCTCTTTCGAATTCGGTACCGGACGACACGCGGATGACGTAGATTCGGGACCTGCCAAGATCAAGATGCCTACGAAACGACAGTGGCTCGACTCGGAGTATTAGCACGGAGACGGAAAAAGGCATAGAAACTTCATCCTTGCTCATGATGCAGTAGTAATGAAACTCTGGCTCGGCTCTGAAAAGCCCTGGGCCATCATCACTCAGAATGTGTGATCAGTGTGGCCAAGGTTATTACGTCAACAACCGGTATAAGTGGCAGGAGCACCTGGCATTCAGACCTGGCACCTGCCACAATCGTATTTTCATATGTATCCACTAGGATCAGAATTATCGGGGCACACCTTCCCCAAACTAGAACTCGATGGCAGATGGCGGCGGATGGCGGCAGATGGCAGTTGACCGTTGCGTATGTTTCTCGTGACTGCGGACTGCTACCAAAATGTGAGCCTCCTCTGCATTTTGTCTCAAAGCCTCGTCGAAGATTTGTTTGTTTCATGCATCCTCGAGTGATTCAATCCTGAATTCGGTAATTTTTCTTTTGCAAAGATGCCACCACGCACTCGGGCAAGAACGAGAAAAACATCGTCGTACTTTGGGCAACTTGATACCACCCCCACAAGCCACCATGATCGCTCGTCTGATATGTCTAGCAACAGGGAACGGAGCTTCTCTCCTCCGTATTTAGACAGCAGTTTAAATGCCCCTGGTGAATTTGAAACCGGTCTGGATGACGATGACGTGCAACAGATAGACGCTGTGACCAATCTCCCTCCTACGCAAGAGATTCCTCTAGAGTGGTCAGAAGCAGACTCGTTCGTACCTGGAAGCTCACCTGGACCGGGTGAGACGCCGAAGGACATTTGGGACTTCGGGGCCAAGACGCAACGCGATGAGACTTATCTACCCTCGACATCCAGCCCAAAGACGGGGCTCGACATGCTACCGGAGACGATCCCGATCCAAGCAGACAATACAGAACACGACATGACTGTTAAGGTTAACACTCCATCCCAGAGAGTCGATCTCTCAGAAACAGCGTCGACGATGTGCAGAAGCTCGCCGTTCATAAGCGAGGAACTCGGTAGTAATATTTGGGATTTGGGAGGAGAGTCCTCGCTAGCCCAAGCTTCCCCAACGAGCAATCCTACATTTGAAAATGTGAGCTACGGCATAGCATCTGATTTTTCTGTGTCTCCGTCTCAGCCACATGGGCAGTGTCGTGTCGAAAAAGACCATATCACTTTGGATTCAACTCGGCAGGTACAAAAGTCTCAAGATGAATTCACGGGAAATACACCAAAGGGACAGGAGGCCACGAGGACGATGCCTACCACAGAACCTGCGGAAGCTATCTATATGCCATCCTTCTCGCAGAAGACTGAAAGGCTTGATCTGCAGTCCGATACCGATTTCGTTTCCTCTCCTCCGAATATTGCAAGTTCTCGCATGGACGCCACTCTAGATGAATCTTTGCCACTTGCTGAAGGTAACGAAGATTGGAGCATCGCAGAGCCGGGCAAACATGACTTGGCAGAAGACAGCAACCAACCCAGGAGACGACGAAAGCAGAGAGCCAAAACGCCAATCCGGTTCGACAGCCATACTGTAGCCATTATGAAGAGTAAGAAAGATGGCAGAAGGCAGGAACTTCCTCCAATACCCCTAGGATCGGCTGTAACAGGGCTCGAGAAGGGATCGGCGTCGAATGGAAAAGCACCACCCAAAGACCACACTACTACCAACTGCCTTGAACCAGAGGAACAGAAGCCTGTTGCGAAGCGGGGGCGAGGCCGTCCTCGAAAGTCCCCAGTTCCGCAGCCGGCTACTGCATTAGCGAAGAAGAGGGGACGGGGACGGCCTCGAAAGAACCCGATCCCGTCCCCAACCGTCACCTTTTCAAAGGCCTCCATCGCCAACGCGGAAAGTTGCCGCAAGGCTCAGGTAGAAGCCCAGACAGGTAATCATGCTCATGGGCAAGCCTGTTGCAGCAGCTCACCTCCCACTCCCATCGTCCCCGAGCTACCATCGCCTTCGGGTGACGATACGGGGAACATACACACAACATCAGAATCTCCTCCCACCCTGCGGTATCTATTGAAGGGATCCCAAAGTGCTTATGAAAAGGGGGGAATCCATCATCCAGGCCTGCCAATGGCAGGGATTGGTCATCCACCGGAGCCGGATACATCAAAACGCATGCCTTTTCATCCGCCGGTCCAGAACGAGCTGAAACGAAAAGCCCCGGGGCCCGCTATCGATGAGAACAGACAGGCAGAGAATCGACATGCAGAGTACAGACTACCTGTTGATATTGGGCCCAACAAGCGCACGAAGTTGACGTTGCCTCCAACAGCTTCCTCGGGGCCTCTGAAAGAGTCGCCTATGAAACTAGATATGGAAAGATCATCTATGTCCATGGGCAGTGATAATCTTCCAAGGAAAACAGCCACATGCAAGACATCAGGCCCGTTGGTCCAAGAGCGAATTGGAAAGGACACAGGCAGTGGCTCGGTAGGGACAGATCAAGCTCGAAAAACGGCTTGGTTGGAGAGAAGGATCAGTATCAGCGAACATGGTAGTCCGGCAAAACTTGGATATAGGAAGCATCAAGATAGCCATGGACACTGGAAGGCTAAGATGGTTGGGACCGACGATAGCGAAAACGTCGACAAGCATCTTGGCAGGAAACAACAGCGCCAAAAAGTCGAACGGCGACTTGTTTTCAAAGGGTCACTCCCGGGCAGTAGTAGTCAACGGGCAGAGAGGGCCGACGTCTTTGATGATGTTGACCACAAAGGACATGATCCTAGCACGTGGCGGTCGGGGGAGAAGAAGGCGTATGGCAAGGATGATTACCGACTTCTCAATATCCAAGATGAAGTTCGGGCGCAAATGGTGGCAAACGGGACAAAGATTGCTGGGAAGCTGGTCAATGACGCGCATAGATCGGATGGAGACGACGGCGGCAGGAATGGTGATTTACGAGATGCCCAGCAACCGGACGTAGCAGCACCTCGAGCCCAAGGAGATGGCGGCGTGGCGCAGCATATGCACAGGATTGTGGATGTAAGTCGCTTGTCTGCCATGCGGTACTCGTTGAGAGAGTAGGCAACTTGTAGCAGCAGCTGACACGACGTGCAGATTGCGGCAAGTCGACTGGATGAGGCCAGCAACAGGGTTGGTCAGATGATTGACGCGTACAGAAAGGGTACGCTCGGATGCGTAGGCAAGATTGAACAGCGTCTCGAGCACGAACGTGAAGAGCTGCACAGGCAGTGGGACGAAGATTCCAAGAGGTTCCTACGGGTGATTGGAGCGTCCAGGAAGGCCATACGGGATGGCAGGGGAGAGAGGCAGGAGAGTGTGGCCGGCTTGGAGCGGGTGATGGCGGAGCGCCGGAAGTGGTATAGGCAGACAAGCAACAGCCTGCGGACTTTTCAGCAACAAGTTGCGAATGGGGGAGGGGACGGGGGCGACGGGAAAGATAGAAATAAGGGGAAACAGGGCCAAGAGGGACCACGTCGGGCATGATTCATGAATGGTGGGCAGCAAGGGACGGGGGCGGATATGAGATATGCCGTGTAACATCTGAGAGGGAATGAGGATCATGGGATGAACATGCTTTAGAGTATCACAAAACCAGGGAGTGAGTTTTGAGCTCTGCTCGAGGAAAATACGGGAACGATGGAGATGAAACGCTCTCGATAGAGACTGGCTGTAAATAATACTAAAGATAGGGACAAAGCGGGAGAGAGATCGTGACCGGTGGCTTCCATGGGAAGCGCCTACGACGTTGGGAGGCTCATTGCTTCCCCGGCGGCGTCTAAGCCACCGGTTGACCGGAAGTATTATGTGTACCGTACCGCAAGATGTATCAAAGTAAGGCAGAGCACCAAAAGATATCGAGGCGGTGGGAATGAAGTGGGCGCACGAGAATCCAGCCTCTTGCTGCAGCTGCAGCGGCTTCCATCAACGACGTATCCGATCGGTGGGTGGTACGACGTGGCTAACGTAGTGGCGCTACGCCTCTCCTCACCATCTAGAGTCAGTCACCTGGTATCCTCTGTGCTGCTAGACTGTTTTAAGACTGTTAGTACCGTATTAGTGCTCCTAGCAGCACTCGTCATGCTATTAATACTTACTGCTAGTAGAAGCATACATGTATGATGATTTTACCACGTAAAGAGTCAATAAAGAGAAGAGTCCAGTTCCGAGTCAAAGGGTGCACGTCATCTCCAACCTCTCTTCCTCACCCCATTTCTTACAACTTTTCCATCCGCACCATCTCGAACGTCATCCAGCGAACCCTGGCCTGCTTTCAAGACAGAAACGAAGGAAGCTACAGAATAATTACGACTAGTCAAGAACCAACAAGAGAAAAGGAAAGAAAAAAAAGAAAATAAGAATAGAAAGAAGAAGAAGAAAAGGCCGTTCACCAGACGACGGCCAATAATATTACCCACCACGCCTTCCAAGACCAGACCGCTTGCCAAACGCAGAAAATATAGCGTTGTGGCCAAGAAGCAGAAGAATAGCAAGATGACGTTGGGACGAAGGATTGCTCGGCGATTTGGCCATTCGGTACGTCTCTACTGGAACAGGGGCAGAGAGGAGACGTGATGAGAAGAGCGAGTCGAGTACAGGGATAGGAGAGGGGAGGAGAGGGAGTAGGGCTAACGCGGAGAATGAGCAGCTCTCCCCCGAGAAGCCCTACCTGAGCTACTACGACGTTCTCCTGACGCTCGAAGACGTCAAGTCGCTCAAGAACGACTGGCTGACGGACAACAACATCGCCTTCTGGGAGGAGTACCTGGAGCACGAGACGCTGCCGCGTTTCCCGCAGGCGCGCATCGTCCTGCTCCGGCCAAGCATGACGTTCCTCCTGATGCGCGAGTCGGACCAGCGGCTGATCCGGTCCGCCCTGCCCGACTTCTCCAAGACGACGCACATCTTCCTGCCCATCAACGACAACCGCAACGTCAGCATGGCCGAGGGCGGCAGCCACTGGTCCCTGCTGGTCGTCTCCGCCCTCGACGGCCGCGCCTTCCACTACGACTCGATGGGCGGCGCCAACACGAGCGAGGCCAAGCTGGCCACGGCCCGCATGCAGAACGTCCTCAGGCGCAGGCTCGAGTTCGAGAACCTCCGCGACACGCCCCAGCAGGAGAACGGGAGCGACTGCGGCGTCTTCGTCTGCATCATCATGCGACACCTGCTCGTCAAGAGGCTGCTGAGCGCGAACGCGAGGGAGAAGGTGTCGATGAGCATGGGGGGGAAGATGGTCGATAGTAGAGGCGGTCGTAAGGAGATGCTCTCCATCATCGAAAATCTGCGTGTCGAGGGTGAACGTCGTCGGTCGTGAGTCTTCCTTTCTTCTTCTGCCCATCTCCATCTTTCGTCCCCTCCCCTCCTCTCTTCTTTTCCTACCAGAGGTCTGATCTGAAGAGATGATAGGAGGAGTGCTAGCCCATACTCGTCCAAGACGCCGCCGCGGATCGAGTAGGGAGCGGCCTGCTACGGCTCTTGCGAAGCTCACGAGCAACTCCTCTCCAAGATGATGGCCGGTCACGGCACCGACCTGCCACCACCCCCACGTACATGGCTGCCTGCATCGTCGTCAACATCACCATCGCCCGACTCGAGTTCCGCCGAGACCACCGACGACATCGGCAGCAGCGGCAGTAACGATGCTGATGCCGACACCACCCCTCTACGCCGCCTCCGTACGAGCCCGACCAGCCCGACCATCCCGGTACGCGAGAACCAGAACCGGATAACCAAGACGTATGGCATCAAGGGCCCCGTGCGCTCCGTCGCGGTCCCGAGACAAGTACAGGTCTACGCATCGGTCTACACGCCGCACGGCACTCCCACCCATCATCCATCCGCCAGTCGCAAACCAATCTTGACGTACGGAAAGTGTCGAGGCTCCCGCGGTAACAGGAAGAGGAGCCCTCTTTCCCTCCCTGCAGCTTTGCATCAGAGTCCCTCGTAGAGATCTGGACGAGTACGTAAACTCGGCGGGGCATGTAGTATGTCGTGCTTCTAGGCATCCCGACCAACTTGGTGGCATAGGCTCCTGCTCTCTCTCTTTCTCTTTTTTTTTTCTTCCTCTTCTTCTTGCTACCCATTTCTCTCTTCTGTTCTTCTACCACGTCACCGGGACTAACATGAGCGAACTTGTCTGCATTATTTTGATCTCCCATGTCTCCAGCGTTTTCGCTTCTACTGTTTCCCTCTTGTCTTCTTTTCTATTTCCTTTCTTCCTTGTTTTTTTTTTCTTATTTGACGAGTCTACGGCCATTAAAATTCAGCAGACAGAGGGCATGGAAAGCCTTGGATTTTTGTCGTACGCTTGTAATTATATTCATGCTCTTCCCCCCCCCCCCCCCCCCCCCCCCTCCCCGTCCCTTCTCCTCCTCTCTCCCCCTAATGATCCCCCCCCTTTCAGGACATGTCCGGTGATGTTACTTTTGTGATACTCTTAGAGATCAAACCCGAGTAATATATCACCTCTCCTCGATACTCGAAATCTGAGGGAAGAGGGAAAAGGGGAGACGACAAAAACATTCAACGACTAGCAGCAGTAGTGAGTTTCAAAGAAAACAAGAAGAAAACAAGTAGATGTCATCATTGACGTCCGCGCTGTAGTACTTTTATATGGCCAGTCCTAGTAAAGAGAAGGAGAAAAAGAACAATAAAAGGAGTAAGAACAGATGAGAGAGAGAGAGACGCCATCGACCTAAAAAGAGAAGAACAAACTCCGATTCATGAATCGCATCCTCTGATTCTTCCATCCACTATCTCTTGACAAAGGCGGGATTCTGCTCCATGGTAGCCGAGATGAAACCCCTCAGAGCAGCCCATCGATTTGCCGTAGCAGGTGCAGGTGCAGGTGCAGGTGCAGGTGTAGGAGCAACAGTGTCAATTCCAATCTTCTCACCATCCTGCTTTTGCTGCTGCTGCTGAGAATCGTCGTCGTCCATCTCTTCATCCTTGACAGTGACAGGCGGCGGCGCATCAGCCAGCCTAGCCCAGCTGACGCCGAACCTCTCCATCTCACCACGCACCAGCTTCTCCTTCTTCTTCAGCGCACCCCTCCCGGTCCTGAGACTCTTGTGACGGATCTTTCCGTGGGCCGGAGCGCCGGCGCCGGCGCCGGAGCCGGTGGCAAGCTCGTCGTCGAGATCGGGCAGGGCATCGCCCAGACTGTCGAGACTGGCAATCTTGTTGCCGGGACGGCGTCGTCGCCGAGAGCTGCCGCCGCTCTTGGTGACCTTGTCGGAGGAGGAGCGCACGCGAGACAGGAAGCTCGAGTGCCTGATCAGCCGCCTGTCGTGCTTGCTCTCGAGGAAGGAGTCCGTCACTGCGGCGCCGGGACGGAACACCTTTGTCGGTAGGAGGGGGTGGATCTGGCCCGTTATGCGCTGATGACGGAGTTGGCGCGCCGAAGGGCGTTTCTCGGCTGGTGCGACTGGTGCCTTTTTTTTTCTCTCTCCGTCAGTCTATTTGTTTCTTCTTCTTCTTCTTCTTCTTTTTTTTTTTTCAACCTGCTATCTGCCTTTTTGGGACGAAGAGGAGAGAAGAGAGAGAGAGGGAAGCATACCATTATTGTGTGGTTGCGATGATGATGTATAGTCCAACTTTTTTTTTTTTTTTTTTCGGCGGTGATGGTAAAGGTTTGACGTAATAATAATGATGAAAATAATAATCAACAATACAGTGTTATTATTACTCCATAAACCTAGAAAGCACTGTTGGCACCGCCGTTTTTGGCAGAAAGTGCCGCCGTTTTTTTATGGCTCCCAGCAGTGCGAGGGTCTTTGTCGGAGAGAGGGAGGCCATGTCCCAGCGTCTGTGAAATCGGGTCCCTGTTCCGGATAACCCTCTCCGTTGACGTCAGCTCGCGTCCAACTTCTGACCTTCTTTCTGCTGCTCCTTGCCGTCCAAGATGAAGCGGCTGCTCGCACCGAACGGGTGCCCCGGCGCGGTGGCCTCTCTGGTTCATAAGATGACAAAAGCTGCGCTCTCCGACTCACTCGTGGCCTCGATTCTCTGCTCATCCATCTTGGTCATGGCTCAGGACGATGATCACGTCGTCCCTTCACTCATTCCTCCAAAACCCAAGCGAATACCCATCATCTCGATGAACAACACCATTATGGCTGCAGACAAAGGCGGTCTACGTGAGAGCCACACGGACTTCATCGATCGCTTCAATGCCTGGCAGGCACAGAATCTAGCTGCAGAGAAGAGAAGAGGAGCCTACGCTATCGATCGAGGAGCATGCTGCCTATCGAGCGCAGTTAGGTAATGTCTGCTTCGTCAAGCCCAGGTACTCGGATCAAACAAGAGATCAATGTCAGCGGCATCTTCAACAAGTGGAAGCAGTATGCAACAACAACAACAACAATCCTGCTCCCTCCGGCTCTTTCCAGTCCCTCGTCTTCTGCTGACCTTGTTCTGCACAGATACTGCACCGAGATGCGAGTCGGCCATTTCCAGTCGCCGGCTGAACACCTCTCCCGCGGAACGACCCAGGACTTTCTTCTGTACATTTGCGAGCGGTGCAAGATCACAATCTTGGGGTAGCGGTCACGAGTACATCCGCCAGTCTCAGCAGCTTCACACCACCGTGAATGGCCAGTACGTGGACCGCAACGACACCAAGGAGGTGTATTATAAGGTATGTCAAGGATCCTTCCATCGGGCACAATTTCCACCCGCGCGACTATCAACCCCGAGCATGACCCGACCAACATCCACCAGTATCATCGCAGCGTGCTCGTGCTCGCTCCCCGCTTCGGACACCGCGCGCCATTGATGGAAAGCCGGTGCTCAACGTCGATAACCTTGGAGTCATCCTGACGTTCAACATCGGGTACGACACGACCATCTTCCCCGGTGAACGGCATCGCATCAACTTGGCTGGCTGCTACCAGCTTTCATGCTACGCAGGTGCGCGACCGGCCGGAGCTGGTGGATGGAGAGCGGCAAAAGCCCCCAAGGATGGTTCTATCCACCAACTCTCTGGCCAAAGTGTCGTCCGGTCGTCCTGCTCTGACGGCGGCGAGGACCAGGATACCCCGGCGGATGAAGAGTCGAAAGGACTCCTCAGCCTTCTCTCCGAAGAAGACCATGGGAAGGGGACGCCCGGAGGCCCTCTGCTACGAGGATATCCAGATGATGATTGTTCGACACCCGACCGCCGGGAGATGCATGCCAGCCAGAGGCGATGTGGTCTTGCTGCATAGATACGCCATGACGACAAATGCCGACCACGGTCCAGCAAGACGAGCGTGCCGCTGATCAGTCCACAGCGTGCTGCCCGTCAACACCAACGCTTCGGTATTGGTGATACATTCTTAGCTTGGGGAGGGCTGGAAACGGCCACAGGCCTACAACTGGGCCAGCCGCTCCGTCACGGCTACGGCTGTTGGGAATGACTTCGCTGGACACCGTTGGTTAGTTGACTGCCAAGTATAGCTGTAGAAAGTTGTAGGAGACTTCTTTGAGGCACTTGTGTAAGGAAAATTGTGGAAGGCAAAGCGTGCGTGCACAGGTCATCACCGATCGCTCTTTGACCACTCAGGGTGAGACTACCGACCCCGTGGGTCGAATCTTTCCTCGCCGCATCGTACCTTGGGGAGATTTCGCAACACGTCAAGAGGAGATTTGGGATGCACTTTCGACAAGCGACTCATTCTTCTCCAACACCGCCTTCCCCTCGCAGCATCAGATGGAATACGTCAAGTCGCTGCTCAGACCCATTAGCAGTGAGATTGGGCTCCGAGATTTCGAACGCGATGTTGTTGAGAATGCCGTGGAGAAGTTGATCCAGGCGGCATCCGCAGATGCACTTCTGCAACGCCAACTCGGCATCCGCGGCATCGTGACGTTTGAGAGTCACACAAATCTAGGATCCGACCAAGATACAATCTCCCAGCCAACGGAACATATGAGCCTGGGCAGCAGCGATGATGGCCGCTCTGCCGCGGCAACAGCTCCGAATTCCCGTACGGTACCCAAATCCCGTCGAAAGGCGAAGGGGAGGGGCAATCGAGCGGACCAATTCTGCATTTACCGAACCTCGGACGGTCAAAAAAATCCCTCTGTGGCGATTGAATACAAAGCTCCTCATAAGCTGACTGTTGATGAGGTTGTGACGGGACTCGAGTCAGCGATCGAACCAGACCGCGACGTCATCAACCAGGATGGCGAGGGCTTCTCCCACTACGCTCGACGGCTCCCAGCCGCGGTTGTGACTCAGCTGTTCTCCTACATGATCGGCAAGGGCATTCCGTACGGCTATGTCTGCACAGGTCAGGCTTTTGTCTTCCTTCATATCTCGGACGATCCTTCTACCGCCTACTACTCAGTCTGCATACCCAAGCTGGACGTCATGGACGAGGATGAAACGAGACTCCATCGCACAGCCGTTGCACAAGTCTTTGCCTTCATCCTGCAAGCTCTTCGCTCGCGGCCACCCCCTGAATCGTGGTACGATGAAGCGGATAGACTTGGCACCTGGGCTGTCGAATACGACGACATCCTATACAGCATTCCCGCCGAGGAGCGCAGAGGCAAAGGCAAAGACGCTCGGTTTTCTCCTTACAGACCTCAGCGCTGGAAGGGTTTCGAGAGGTCCCCGATTCGCACCAGGTCCAAAGCATCCTGTCAGGATACAGACCTCGACAAGGCCCATGCAGATGATGGAGAGCCGCCGTCTCCTTCCCTGGATCCGCGAAGCTCGAGCTCGAAATCGAAATCTGTTTTGGAACCTGCGGCTGCCAAGGAGGCTGGGGATCGTGCCAGCCGCAGAGGTCAAGCACGAGGGAAGGGTCCGACACGAGAGCAGAACATACAAAGCCGACCTTTCTGCACTCAGGCATGTCTCAAGGGTCTGGCACATGGTGGGCCAGTGGATGAGCACTGCCCAAATGTGAGAAGTCACGGGAAGGACCACACTGACAGGTCCTCGTTTCCCTCTCTCGTACGAGACCAGCTTGCGAGAGACCGTGGCAGCGATGCGGATTGCGTGTCGATGTATCGATCAGGGGCACGTGGCTCGCTGTTCAAGGTGCGATTGACGTCCCACGGCTATACGCTCGTTGCCAAGGGTATGCAGAGGGCTCATGGACAATTCCTGCGCCACGAGAACGCGATGTATGACCGGCTCATCCGCATCCAAGGAACGCACATCCCAGTGTGCGTCGGAAACGTGGAGCTGGTTCTGCCATGGCATTGCGACGGCCGCGTCAACTTTCATTTCATGTTTCTCAGCTGGGCCGGCCGACCCTTGCTCGACTGTCCTGGCCGGCTTGATGAAGCAGCAGTCGCCGATGGGGTTGCCAAGATATTCACGGCCATGCACATACTACGAGTCCTCCACCATGACGCGGAGCCACGAAACATCTTGTGCGATGAAAATGGCAGTCTCGTGGCGGTAGATCTGGAACGTGCAAAGTTCCACGATCGCCCACCGCTAGGCGATATGAGCCCCAACAGTCGGACCCGGAAGAGGAGACGAGGTATCGTCAAACAACCGAGGGATGAGTTCGCACGAGAGCCTTCAGATGCTGTAGAGAAGTGTTATCGGGTAATCAGATCGAGCCGCATCGCCGCTGTCCCATCTGAAGCTCTCGAAACCCACGAAGACATGATCTCAGATACGGCGAGCGACCTCGGTGGTCATCTGAGTGAAGTCCAGTAGAAGATCGACTGTGCCCAAGCCGGGAACGTCCCCCTGCCGTTGACGAGGTGGCCCTTGAATGGCATCCTATCCTGGAGGGGGAAGAGCGCGCCAAGAGAGGTCTTGATCTGTGCGACGAATTGTCCGCACGGAATGTTCAGTACGAATCGGCATCCACCGAGCATGTCCAGTTTTTTGGATCGTCCGTCAGCGCACAGACTCGTGCGGCGCGGTCTAAGCCAAGTATGAGGCTCTCTACAGTCTCTGGTCACTCGCCTGAAGAGCCATGAAGGCTCAGTTGGCAGTCAGTTGGAAGCCATGTCGCTGAAAGAAGGCTTGTCGGAATCGCTGCCAGCCGAACTCGCACGACTCCAGCAGACGAAGAAAAGCATCGGCCAGTGCAGTCAGAGTGTATCTGATGCTAAAGACTTGGCTGATGAGCGGAGCAACATCTCTGAGAACATCACCTCAGCAGACAACAGTAATTCTTTCTTTCTTTTCATATCTCGACGGGCCATGACCTCGTCATGGCCAGGCGATTTGATCTACCAGATGACCGTTCGCGGCATTTGGGTGGGCCGCTAAAAGACAAAACAGTGCGGCGGTTTATCGAAGCTCTTACACAATCGGATGCAGAGCATCCGAGACTTCGTTCTCAAACATTGCAAGTTCGGAGGTGGCAGGAGTCAGAATCTGCTGGCTCGCCCAGTACCAGGCCATTCGATAGCCGCTCTGGCCCAGGATTCTCGCTTCAGGAGCGGAACATGGATCGATCAGGCGCGAGTTGAGGACTCGGGTATCTGGGTCAACGAGGTCTGTCATTTTTTTATCTTTAGAAGAAAGCTGCGTGGGCAGGCGTTCTAGAGCTTATCACTTGGTTGGATTCCTGCTCAGAGGAATCTATCGTGCCATGACTAGGGCGGTAATTCCGAAGCAGTCGAAACGAGGAAGCCTCGAGAGGCGTCGACCTTTAGTCTCAGCCCCATAGCATGCAGTGGAGGAGGGAGTGGTAGGCTGCGTAGCTCGGCAGCTGATATCGGGAATCTGGCCATGAAGCTCAGGTCTTCCAACTGCCATGGCCAGTCTGCTAGGCAAGGTTGCACCAGTCCAGCAACATAGAAACTCTCTTGGTAGGTCTTTCGTACCTTGCGAACTGTAAAAGAAGCTGTTGGAGAGCCCGGAAAGGCTGTCCCCGAGATTTCCGTAGCCACGGGTAAGAGTATCAAGCTCTGCCGCGCCGCGTCAGCTTCCCTGGAAGTGTACGTGGGGGGAGTGTTGTGGCTGATCATCGGGCCTCAGCTCTCGGTAGACGTCGACATCTTCATCAAGCGCAGTCTCATCCGTGTTCCCTTCATCCCTTCCCTCGTCGGGCCAATGGACCGGCTGATCCAAGGTGAGGCAACCCACTGTCAGCTCTCGAGGGACTGTCGACTCGAAGGAAGCATCAGTGATGATGTGGAAGGCGCCTCGGGGGCCGTCAAAGGGGCCGTCGAAGGGGCCGTCGAAGAGGTCCCGGGCTGGCATGGCACCGGCATGTCACCTTCACTTCATCTACAGGTGTACCAAGACTCCGTGCATGCTCTGCGAGGATACAAGCTCTAACTCGTCCGTCGATGCACCGGAATTCGTCATCGTCCGCCGGCGAAGAGCGTCCCACAATCGGTTTTCGCTAGCATCCAGATGCCCCGTGAAGGCATCATGGAACCCATACACGGCAGGATTGCTCTGAACGATTGGTGGAGGTCCAGAGCAAGGCTTGAGTGAAACCGACCGGTACTATGCCAGGTCCGAGAGAGGGGCCGGGATCCGAACCAAGTTGTGTGCCAGCTACAGAGCGAGCAACGACCATGTACCGAAGGTCGAGACTGTCTGGGTAACGAGGTGACCCAGCATCTGGCGGATCTCGAGTGCGTCGCGGAATGTATTATGTATTCCCGCCTGGCCTGGCCGCCGGCTCACGTTTCTCCCGTATGAAGGCCGGCCAGTCCCAAGCCATCCGTATTCGAAACAATATCCGGCGCTGGCGGGCAGCATGAAGACTGCAGCGTCCATCTTCTTCTCCGACAGGCTGATTCCCACAAGGAAGATACCGGAACATGGCACGAAGGCACATAATAAGCTGGGCGGGAACGAGCGTTGCTCAGCATGCCAGGTGCCGGCTCTCCAGCAGACCTGGTTTCGTCTCGTCAATGATGAAAGGTATCGTGGATTGACACACTCTTAGCTGCCCCATCATGCTGCAGACTACCACGGATCTTGATGCGAACACTATCCAGTCATCTCTCCTCTGGCAAGTGTCAGCACACCAAAAGAGATGCTTGCGCCGAGATAGATGATTCCATGGACGATGGCCGCGGATAAAAAAAAATAAAAAATGAAAAAAGGTGTAGTAATACCTGGTGCTTAGCCTTTCCGTAACATGGCGAATACCAGGCAGGACCTTGCCTTTGCCTTTGCCGAAGATGGATGCGGTGCGTTGGCAAAAGACACGTCGGAAGGCTAGCTCCCCAGGAAACGAGCACGAGGCCACGAGGGAGAAGGTTGGGATTCACATCAGTCAAAAGAGGCTGGGATGATGGAGCGATGCTGTCAGAGGGATCTTCTCACGGTCTAGGTTCAGCATCTGGGATCGTGGGACGTAGGTACTGCAGCCAAGACGGAGTGGTCAGGGGGTTCAAACGAAACGGTTGACCGGTCCGTACCGTCCAGCCAAGATCCGGGATAGCTGTAAGGGCGCCTGTGATGTCCCGAATGGCGCCATCCGGATCGATGGCCAGAATGTTTGCGAGCGAGAGAAGGCCTAGTCTGCGCGTCGCGACCACGGGGCCACGGAAGCACGCTCTCGGCGACTGAGCCGTCTCAGGTAACTCTGCCCGGCCTCCAGCCATGATCTCAGCCTCCGCGATCCTCTGGGGACATGGCCCGTCGCACCACGCTCATCAGGAGGCAGCCGAACCGCCGCCGGGGGAGCTGGCTCGTAGCCCCTAGCCCCTCGTCTCGTATTCCGCTCATGGTCCGACGGATGCATGGCCGTGGTCTCTCATGCGCGGTCCACGGCTGTGTAGGGCCAGCCGCACCGGACCTCGTGCCGAAGCTGGCTTCGCATCGACGCTGCAGCCTAGGAGAGGATCGACTGCCAGCGTGTCCACAGCTCATATCGCGGCTGCTGATGATGATCCACCGCCGAGGCCGCCCGACTGACGTGGTCCACGGGCCCGTGGTCTGGCTCGTCTGACTCCGGACAAGGCCGACATCATGGATCGCGGCATCTACGAGACTGATACTGGGCTGGAGAGCACGGATGCGGATCAGCCAGAGGCCTCCGAGGCAGCGGCCGCCGCGACCACGGGAGCGCCTGCACTGCTGCGAGGTCAGTCCTCGAGGCGTCTTCGGCGTGGCAGGAGAGACGTACGTCGTGGCAGACTGCAGAAGCAAGACGTGCGGCTCGCTCCATCTCGAGAAATACGGTCAGCTGCCATGTGCGCGGGGAAACCTGGATGCTCGGGGGATGTGAATGCCATCAATCACCAAGACGGGCGGTGGAGGAGAAGCGGCGAGAAGCCGGGGAAAGGCCGCGCCATGCTCGATGCTGAGGGTATTGAGCCCAGGCTAGGCGCAGGAGGTGTGCAGCATGTCGGCTGCGAGGCTGTAGGCAGGATTCGCGAGGGAAGAGGGTCAAGAGGACCTGACTGGATGGAAGGGAAGATGTCGGTCTATTCATACCAGGCCGGCGAGATGAGATCCGTGCGGGAGGGGCGGCGACACGGCGGCGAGCCCGAATGGGGAGCGCCGCTAAACTGGAGGCGGCAGCAGCGCATCAGCGACAGCGACTACAAAAAAAAAAAAGAACCCCCCCCCCCCCCAAAAAAAAACGTCACTTCTTACGACAAACTTCACTCACCCCGCCAATATTAGACACGCAACAGAATGGACAGGATTACCCATCTACAAAGGGAAATCGCCCAACGCGAGGCTGAATTAGCCGATCTGAAAGCTCAGCTGGCCCTTGCCGAGTCGCAAGAGAGACTCTCGGATGAGCATGAGGATGAGGCTTCGGGCTGGAAGTGGCCGTTGAGCAGGCGAGAGTATGATCGGTATAGTCGGCAGATGGTGGTTCCCAAATTTGGCTTGCAGGGTACGGCATACGTTGTTTTTTTCTATTCTATCTCATCGTTCCCTTCTTTTCCCTCTCTCATCTCCTCTTTTCTCTCTCCGTGAACAATCTCTCCCTCCTGACATGTTGTGATAAAAGGCCAGCTGAAGCTCAGAAAGACAAGAGTCCTGCTCGTCGGCGCCGGTGGTCTGGGATGTCCGGCAGCAGCGTACCTTGCCGGCTCCGGGGTGGGCAAGATCGGTATCGTGGACGGCGACGTCGTCGACACGTCCAACCTCCACCGGCAGATCTGCCATAGCACCGGCCGGGTGGGCACTTCCAAGGTGGACAGTGTCATCACGTTTCTCAAAGAGTGAGGTCTCGTCAAGAGAAGAAGAAAGGGAGGAGAGGAGGAGAGGAGAGGAGGAGAGGAGAGGAGGAGAGGAGAGGAGAAGAAGAAGAGGCCCGCATATCCATGGCCAGGTAAAGAGGCTGACTGGGACAACCGTACAAAACGCGCAGGCTCAACCCAGACATTGCATACCGCGCCCACCACGGCCACCTGACGACCCTGAACGCGCGCGACATCGTCTCGGGCTACGACGTCGTGCTCGACTGCACCGACCACCCTGCCTCGCGGTATCTGGTGTCGGACATCTGCGTGCTCCTCGGCCGCCCGCTCGTCTCGGCCTCGGCCCTCCAGACGTCCGGGCAGCTGATGCGGCTCAACGACGGGCCCGGCCGTGGACCGTGCTACCGCTGCGTGTTCCCCCGGCCACCGCCGCCGGAGAGCGTGGTCGGCTGCGGGGAGGGCGGCATCCTGGGCCCCGTCGTGGGCGTCATGGGCGTCCTGCAGGCCCTGGAGGCCATCAAGCTCATCGTCGCCGATGGGGGTCCCCCCCCCGCGCCGCCCACGATGCTCATCTTCAGCGCCGCCGACCCCGCCACGCCCTTCAGGTCGGTCAGGATGCGCGGGCGGAGGAGGGACTGCTTCGCCTGCGGCGACGATGCGCGCCTCACGCTCGGATCGCTCGAGACGAGCATGGACTACGTGCGCTTCTGCGGCGTGAGGGCGCCCGTCCGGCTGCTCGCTCCGGAGGAACGGGTGTCGCCCGAGGAGTACGTCGTCGCCGCCGCCCGTGGCGGCCACGTCCTGATCGACGTCAGGGACAGGGAGCCATTCACCCTCGGCAGCATCGACGGATCCATCAACATCCCCATCGGCCGCTTCACGAGCCACCGGGTCGCCGAGGGTGAGGATGCCGGCAAGCTCCCCGAGTGGTGGCCGGCCGACGCCGTCCCGCCCGGTGCGCCCATCTACCTCGTCTGTCGGGTCGGGAACGACTCGCAGATAGCGGCTCGGAAGCTCAAGGACCTGGGTCTAGACCGAGGGGGACGCTTCATCGGAGATATCAGGGGCGGCTTACAGGCTTGGAGGGAGACGGTGGATCCGACCATGCCATCTACATAGACTAGGTATCGAGACGAAGGACGGAAAGGAAATGTTGAGCGGGTAGAAATCTTTTTTCTTCTTTTGTTTCTCGTGTTTCCTTGTTCTCCTGACCATGATATAACGGTACACTTGAGGGACTGGTCCCTACCAACATAACAGAAAGGAAATGAAAATAACAAGCGACAATGAGCGGAGCTTTTGCTTCTGGCTAGCCAAGCCTCTGGACGTGGTTCATATAGTAATGGCAGAGTGTTCTTTTTTTCTTCTTCTCGTTCGTTCGACACAGTGTTGCATCTTGAACAGGAGAACCAAGAGGGATGCGGGATGATCTATATGAGATCGGCCGACTTCTTCTTGTTGAAAGCCCTCTGATCCTTGAGCCACTGCCTGTAACCGTTGACGCTCTGAATCTTCTCGCCGTAAAAGTCAGGGACTGTTTTCAGTTCGTCAGCACAGAAGTTCTACACACCCACAGCACACACACACACACACACACACATCTCGGATACAGATGACTCGGAAGGGGAAGAAGAAGGAAGGGAAAGCACTCACCAGGGTTGGCAGTACTCGAGTTTGACGGGTCGACGCGGTTCTTCCTGATCCTGGCAAAGAACTCAGCCTCCTTATGGTTGATCTGGTTCTTTAGGCTCCTGTTCATCAGGTAAAAGACTTGGCTGCCGATGCTGGGGCCGACGAGCCATCCGGCGCCGGCAAACGTCATTGTCAGCAGGCCCAGCGAGATGAAGGGATCGAGCGGGATCTGCGCGACCAGCGGCTCGGCCACGCCCGTCGAGAGGAGCACGACGCCCAGGACCAGTCCGACGGCGCTCGAGGTGATGGAGAAGAAGACCTGGATGCGGCGTCGGCGCAGCCTGAGCTTGAAGAAGCTGTCCCAGTCGAGCCTGGGCTCCGAAGCGCCGGGCCCGGCACCGGCACCGGCGGTAGTAGTGCTGCTGCTGCTGCTGCTGCTGTTCCTGCGCAGGAGCTGCTGCTGGACGGATCGGCTGTCGGATCGGAAGATGCTGCTACGGATTCCGTTGTTCTGCTGCTGCTGCTGCTGCTGCTGCTGCTGCTGCTGCTGCTGCTGCTGAATGAGACCCCTTAGGCTGATGGGACGGGTTGCGGTCGTGAACGAGGCTGTCGTCGTCGTCGTCGTCGTCGTGCAGCACAGCGCCGTCGTCGCAGTCGCCAGGCTACCTGCCACGGGGCGAAGAGGCACGCGCAGAGCGAGAGCCTTGAATGGTGTGGCCATCTTTGTCTCCGTCTTCCGTCAGTTCGGCTGTGCCTTATCGCGAAAGGGTCCGGTGTTGTCGTCGTCGGAAGAGGAGGGGTTTGGTCGCGATCGGGATCGATTGAAGTCCGGGGTAGTGAGTTCGAGCTTTCCCGGCTGGCCAACTGGAGGGAAGGAAAAGATGAAAGAAAAATGGGCTGCGCGGGACATCAGAGGCTTCTTGGCGTTTTGCTGTGTCGATGGAACTTACCCGGGAGCACAATCACGTCGAAGGAGCCGCGGTCCAGGTGGTGGGGAGTGACGGTGCTGTTGGTGCATCGTACGGCACTCTCATATCGTGGTGTTGCATGTAATCGATCCTGTAGTCTGTATATCTCTACGTTCTTCGGAGATGAGGAATGTCAAAGATATGTGTATCATATTCTTATTCTCGTCATGGTGATGAATCCTACCATGTGTATACGAGAATGTCCGATGAAACGTATCATGCATGCCGCGGATACGTGGATGATCTAGACGAACAAGTTAAACCAGCAAGTAGCCTGTCGGAAACGCGATGCTAGCTAGAAGGAGCCGACAGACAGCTTTCATTCACAGGTCTGCATCTGGAATAGAATACCTTGATGATGTAGGCATCGACGTCAAACGAGAGCCGTGCAGACGACCTTGTTGCCATTCAACACATAGTAGTTCCAATATAGACTCTTCTTCTCTCGTGTAAGCCCTTCTTGTAGGACAGACAGAGAGGGTTTAGACCAGCTGCTATCCCCATCACACCATCTCCTCGTCCTCAAGATCCTAGCACCGTGATTCCCGAAAGCCTACCAATGCGCTTCGGTAATCTCTACTTCGTCGACGTCAACTCCGTCCGCAAACCAACGGCCCGTGCCGTCCCCCTCGGGACCGAGGACGATGTCGTTTCCAGACATCATCCTCTTACGCATCTTGCCCTCCCGGTTGAAGGTCCAGTCTTCGAGGCCGTAGCACCGCTTCCACTTCAGCCCGTCGTGGGCGTCCTGGTACTCGTACCAGAACTGCACGGCGATGCGGTTGTCCGTAAAGGAGAAGAGCTCCTTCCTCAGACGGTAGGACTTCTCCTTATCCCATTTGGCTTCCAGGAAGGCCTCTATGGCCTCGGTTCCCGACAGGAAGGAGTCCCGGTTGCGCCAGATGGAGTCAGGGGTGTAGGCCTTGGCGATCACGGCAGGATTCCTGGGATGACTCTTGTTAGCTCATGGAAACTCCCTGCCCCCCGCCCCCCTCTCTTCCCTTCTCCCTTCTCTTTGTGGTCATGATCTCTACTCACCGGGTGTTCCAGAGATCCTGGGCTGCCTTGACCTTCCCGGTGGCCGATTCGTGAGTAAAGGGGGGCTTTGCGGATGCCATCTCTGCGCTTTCTTGTATGAAAGTGCCAGCCTACAGCGGGGCGAAGGATCGTTATGCTGTACACGTGAACGTACGTGTCCATATGCAGGATGGCATGTCACTCCATAGCTTGCCCTCGTGAGGGGTAGTAAACTAGCATGCCCTTTAGACGGAGACACTGGAGTCCCATAGATATTATCAATAGTAATATGCATGCAGCACAACGATTGCGGCGGAAAGGTAGTGTAGAAACTCCCCCCCCCTCCTCGGTGTCTACATCCCGCAGCGAAAATCTCACGGTTCGTATCGGATGACGCCAGACGACGGAACATGCATATTTCTACCAAACTCCTTCCGTTGACGGTCACCGGAAAGACACGATGCATCCCGTACATCTACAAGATACCTGGAGCAGGCGGTTTTGCTGCGCAGATGTGCCGCAGGAGCCTCGACATCAGGTAGGGAGTATATGAGATGCATATCGCGGCTCATCCAGTGTTCGCATCAGGGACAGGCAGACCGGTGAACTTTTACCGTTCAGACACACACGAGATGGAACTCTTGGCAAGATCTGCGATCGGAAATTGTCTCCTCGAGCAGCCGACCGTCAGGGAGAGGAAACCGAGAGGAGGATGGCATCCATAGACCTCAGCTGGGACAGAGCACGAGAGGGGTGGTGAGGAGACGAAAGGTGCAGATTGGACCAGTAGAGATACTCATCTAACCAGTAGTACTGCATAGAAACAGGAAGAAGGGGGGAAAAACACGTTTCTCTCACGGAGACAGACTACTCACAAACCTATCCGCGCCCGTGCCGACTGTTCTTTCGAAATGTGCCATTGCGTCCCAACCCCGTGCTTGGAGCCTGATCCTTGGCGGTCCTCACGACTGACGAGTCAGACCAGACGACCGTCCCACCATGCAGTATCTTGCCGTTGGCCTTGATTCGGGGAAACAGCGTAGCGGCTACCTTATGGCTCTCCATCGCAGCCTTCCCATTGCTACGCTCCCCGAATTCAGCATACGTCTCCACCCCCTCGTCGTCCGTATTGGGGGTCGTGATCTCTAATAGATCAGCAGCCGTCTGGCCTTCGGTCTTCCAGATATTGGCTGCACGTATCAGAAAATCGGTCACTCTCCGATGTAGATTCTGCTCATTCTCAGACGGAACCAGCCGATCGAGATGCCTGCATACTTCTGTAGAGGCGTCTTCAACCGCAGCGTCTACATCTTCATCGATCAGGAGCTTTGTGATTTGGTAGCGGTACGTCATCTGTTTCTCCTTTTCGTCGAAGAAGTCTAGCATCTGATCGGCCGCCTGCCTCAAATCTTTCGAGATGTAGAACGGGAGGAAAATGTGCTCCATCAACGCCTGGCAGATGATGGCCTGGCCCGCCGCACGACGCATCAGGATGGCCTCTTTGCTTGTCCCGACCAACAGGGGCAATTCGGGTACGAGAGCCTGGATTCTCTGGGCGGGCGTCTGTTGCTCGTCCCGTCAGCATGCATGTCCCTACCGTATTATACGTGCGTGCAACGTCCGTCGCCAACCTTACCATTGTGGTCTGGGAATGAGATATGAAATCCTTGGCAATGGTGTGGGATTCGTCCGACAGAGATTTCAGGTGGTGCCGACTGCTGAGACGTCAGTCTTTCTGTGCGTATACAGGCAACGCATCATGACCTCACAGTGTCGTCTCTCGTTCTCCATCTACCTCGTGAAAGAGGTTGTGGCCCAACTCTTCCCTGACCCCCTTCAACTCCGACCGGAGGTCGTCACGCTCAGCCTCGGCTGCCTGGAGCTGGGAACTGTGAATGATGCAGCTCGTTTCCATCGTCTTGTTCTTCTGTCGCAGCTTATCGGCTTCTCTCTCCGCAGACCGCAGGCCAGCTTGCAGCGAATACACACTCCTTGATTTAGAGGCGCCATCATCTTGAGCTGTCCTCAGCTGGGCTTTGGCCTCGTCTGCCTGCTTCCGATATCGCTCTATATCGGTCTCGGCTTGTGCGAAGACTGTGTACCGTTCGCCGAATGTCGTCATCAACGTGAGCTTTTCCGTGTCGGCTCTGGCCTTCGTCTCTTTCAGTTCCGTAGTGAGACGTGAAACCTCGTCGGAGGTTTCCCTGAGCTGGCTCTGAAGCCTCTTATTCTGGTCAATTAGATCTGAGAAGTCCTGTATACTTTCCGTATCGCCCGCCACTTCCCGGGCAAGGCATATAAGAGACCAGATGCTTGATTGCTTGCCGGCCTTGGGATTTGGGCCCTTCGAGTTAGTCGTAGTCGGCTTTGCCTTTGGGTCAGGCATGGTTGCCGCTCTCTTCATCCGCTCCCTGAACGACTGTAATGACATTGGCTCCTCTGCGAAAGCCGATTGAAGAAACGATCTGAGCTTGAGGGTCAAGCCGCTACAACCTGAGCGGCCAAGGGGGGAATGGGAAGGAGGGGAGATACATATAATCGAACTTCAGCAGCCTCGTTCGAGGCCACCCTCCACTAACATGACGCGATGTTGGACTGCGAGCAGCCGCTGCGGATGTAAGCAACAGCGTGCGTGTCGACGCCTGACTGGTTTATGGACATGTGCCGAGGCGAACAAAAGCACATCAATCACCAACCACATCAGGACCGTTCGCCTATCGCCTAACGACTGACGTTGGTGGCACGAAATCGGATACGATCCTTTAGAACCCCCCACCCCCCAAGTTTACAAGAGCTCACTAAACACGCAGCTCCGTTTTACGTTTCCTACATGGATCTTCAACCTGACCCTGTCATCTTGTAGTGGTAATAGACTGACTGACGACGTACCTTGGTAGAACCTCAGCTACCTTATTTCAAGTAGACTTACTGTCTGACAATACGAACTTTTGCGTCGAAAACAAACAAAAAAAATGCTGATAGCCTATGCATGCAGTTGAGGTATGCTGCTAGCAGTGGCTGATATATGTTGAGGCACGGTACGTACATGTAGGTACTCTCGCAAACTTGAACCTAGTGAGCATTCACATTGGTTTTGTTTCCATGTCATGCGGATGCGGGACAGCCATCCTACATTACCTTACATTGCAGGTAATAGTTTGTTTCCTCATCGACCCTCGCCCCATCTTGGCCACAACGTCCCCAGCCAACGGCATCCCTGGCTGGCACTCTTCGCGGATCGCAGCCGCCCTCTTCTTGAGGATATCCATGTGATACGTCGACCACGGATGCAAGCAACAGCGTGCGTGTCGACGCTACAGGCATAGCTCCCCGAGCCTGCAGCTCCGTGACGGCTCGGTCGACCTCGACCTCGGTCTCGTCTGCCACCTTGAGCGACGCAGCTGAAGGTATGGTACCGGTGAGCGATGGCTTTCCCGCGAGCGTGTCCGACTGCACGTTGGCATGGCCGATCTCATCCGTGGTCGAAGATGACATCCAGGCCGACGCCTGCGGCTCTGACAGATAGCGTGTGCCGGGAGTGGCTCCTCATCTTGCAGACGCCTTCGCTCACCTTCTGGCCTTGTTCGAGGGCGACTTTTCCCTGCGGACGGCATCTTGCCTCCTATCTTGACAGAATCGAGAGAGCGTAGGGGGGGGAGCTGGGTGGTCGTCACGGGGGAGCAGGAGTCTTCCCCGCCCAGCAGAAGCTCCCGGAGGGCCAAGACGGACTTTTGGGGGGCTCAAGCATGATGCTGCCCACGAGATAGAAAGCCGGCGATAGGGGAGCATCGGCGATAGTTACCAAGGTCATCGTGGTCGTTGGGTTGGCCAAGTATCGCAGGGCCTGTTACAGGGGCTGTGTGGTTATATAAAAACTAGTCGTGCTGTGAGCGATGCGTTCTTCGGGACCCTTATCCATGATGTTTTCGAAGCGGGGAGCATCGGTGTCAGAGGTATTATATCATGCCATAGCTCGGCTAAGCGGGACTCGACCGTGCATACAACCGTCGAGTCCGGCACCACAACGACGATACGGAACAGGAACCTTGACACCAACCGAACATGCTGACCTACCTTGAATGTAAGTCAGGAGTGTTTGTGTGTTTGTTCTCACAGAGACATTGTGCCATCCAACTATATCTAAATACTTTCCCACTGTCTACAATCCTCTACTTGACCTCTAGTCCTATAGACGACACTAGATCATGTTTGAGACCTCAGATCGCAGGACCTAAAGTGCAACTAGACATACACCTGTCTTGGCAAATAAGAACTATAACTTTCAGAAAACGAGAGCGAATAATGAGGGAAATGAAGATGGAGAGACTGGGATCAGCTACAAGCCGTGCAACTTACAGGAGCTCATCCAGGGTCGTAAAAAAACTTAGTCATCGCCAATCTTGGCTGGTTCACCTACAGGGTATGTGCACGTCGAAGGCAACGCTCAACGTCTTCCTCACCATCCGCGCTCCTCTTCTTTCGACTTGGAGGGACAGGAAGAAAAAGAAAAGAAAGAAGATCGATTGTAAACATCTATATATTGCAGCTTCGGATAACGACTTCTCGACCCCTACGCCCGCCTCATGCCTGCATCCCTCGCGCGGTGGGGAGAGTGTCGCGTCCGCCTCCCCAACGCGCGCGCCTGAACATTGTGACCAGCAAGCGAGAGTCGACGACGGCGACGAACACGACGACGGCAGACGGCACAGAGACGTGATGGCGCCCCGTCAGCGAATACGACCAGGCGAAGCCAAGCTCAGGCCCGCCCAGCACAAACCCTGCGGAAAACTGGTCGTGTGTATTCGGGAACGGCCACGCGACTATGCGCCCAATAGCGGCCCGCCCTGCGGCGACATCACACTCCTCCCGGCGGGCGACTCGACAGCCTACATAACCGAGCGCATCCTCCTGCCGCCCAGCAAGGGTTCTGGGGGTGGGCGGCCCGGACCGAGACGCATGTCGTACATCGTCGGTTGGCATGACCTACCCGCTGCGCGGCTCCTCGTGCCCGTCGTGGACATACTCGACTACGTCTCGCCGCGGGAGCTCGAAGCCTGGGAGACGGCACTGGAGGAGGAGCTCAGCGCCGAGAGAGCCGAGAGGGCGAAGGCGGCGGAAGCGAAGGTGGAAGCAGAGAAGAGCGAGGGGGCGATACCTACCGCTGCTGCTGCCACTACTGCCGCAGCAGCTCCTGTTCCCAAGGGCAAGCGCAAGCGCAAGAAGGGCAAACCGCCTGCCCACGCGCAGATCGAATCGGCTGTGGTGACGGGGCTGGAGACGGACGAGAAAGGCGCAAAGGGCCGTCTGAAAGGTGGGACTCTCACCCTGTCTACGCCACCGAAATACCGCATCAAGGAACTGGAGTCACTCTCGGACGACGACGGAGATGACCGAGACGAGGTCACCAGCCCGACCCACCAGCTGATCGGAGATATGTACGACGAGGCCATGGGCCGGGAAAGCAACCAGCCGGAAGATGCAGCGCACGGCAATGGCCTCGACGGAGATGACATCCCGCCAAGGACGACGGGCGGCCTCGCCCCGGTCCGGAAGGAGACGGCCAGCTCCGCGACGGCACCGCCGACGCCCCGACCATCGTGGGTGACGGCCGGCAGCGCACCGTCATCATCACGAAAGACGGCGCCATGGCCGCCGTGGCCGCCATCATCCAAGCCCACATCTACCGCCGACCTGACACCCGCACCGCCAAAGAAGCGGTCGAGCCCATCGCAGTCCCGAGCGCCCGACGAATCCACCAGCGGCACGAAGAAGTCGTCCGATAAGAAGAAGACGAAGAAGGGGAAGCAGGCGACGCCGAAGCCAAAGAAGAACAAGGACCCGGAGCCGGCCCCGGACGGGGAACCGGAGTGGATAGTAGAGCGGATCGAAAACGACGCGCTCTTCGAGGTGGACGGGCAGGACGACCCGGTGCGCTTCTTCCAGGTCCGCTGGGAGGGCGACTGGCCGCCGGACCAGAACCCGACCTGGGAGCCAGAGGAGAATCTACCGCCCAACCTGATACGGAACTATCTGAAGACGGGCAAGGCAAAACGAAAACAGCCACCCGGAACCGCCGAAGACGGTGGCAGCAACAAGAAGCCCAAGCTCAAGCAGTCGAAGCTGTCGTGGCTTGGCGTGGAGAAGAGCCGGTACGGGAGCGTCAGCGAGGCGTTTGCCGGTGAGGAGAATGATCTGTTGGAAAACGAGAAAGACGATGATGGCGATGGTGACGAGGAGGAGGAATTCCTCGTCGTGTAAAGGAGCTTTCGGCTTCATTCACGGGAAGCTTGGTTCATTTCAATATTGAGTGATTTGGATCTGGTGGGGTTTTTTTCTATCTTTTTCGAAAGAAAAAAAAAGGAACATTAAAAATCAAAAACAAACAGCAACGAAAAGAAAAAGACCAGCCTGCATACTATATATCCTCTGGAGTTCTTTTGAGAGGTTTAATGGCTATGGAAGTGAATATAAATGGTACTCTTTCTTCTTCTTTTCTCTTCTTCCCGGCTGCATGTCTCCCTCGTCCACAATTCTGCATCTGCCATCGTTCACTTGGGGAAGAGAGACAGCATGTTCAAGCATGCATGGATTCCCTGACGAAAGTTCTCAACCACCTGCGATGATACACAAAACGGATTCCTGAGCAGATCACACCCGGAAGCGCACGTCACGCACTCGGGCACCTCCCACGGCTCCAAGCCTTGCAAGGCAGTCATGTGGCGTCGGTGCCGCGCAAACAGCACCATTGTCTTCCCAGCGTAGCATATCCTCCATCCTTCCCCTGTTACTCGGCCTACTTCCTGCCGTGGCCAGAGGCGGCCGCGTCCCGCGCGGGCGAAAGCTTGTCATCCGCGGACGGATAGTACGGGACATGCCGAACCCAACCCCCCCCCCCCCCCCCCCCCCCCCCCGGGTCCTGGGAGAGTCAACAAGGCATGTCTGACGCGGAATAAGGAGGTGAACTCGATGGTCAAGACGCCCCTCGCCGGCTACCACGTCGGCAGCGACGGTGTGACGCAGGCCAAGAGCGCATGGGCAGAACCACGTCGCCTCGACGGGGAAGTGGGCGGCCACGACGGTGCGCGGTGGCCCCCGTATTACAGGAGGAGGAGCTGCGTGCCGGCGCTCAGCGGTCTGTGGTGGGCCAGGCCGTCGTCGAGCAGCACCGGCTACTCCTACACGGGGAGGAGATGAGATCCCGGGTGTGGCACGGGTCGAAGAACTCGACAAAGGCCGTCTCGACTCCGGACCCTCGCAGCCGGAACGTGTCCAAGATGGCGCAGCGGTCAGTCACCCCGTGCTGCCGGACTGGACTGCCTCGAGGATCTGGGTCCAGGGTCGAGACCGGCGGGAGCGGGAGTCTACCGAAGATGACGGTCCTGGTCCCGTCGGTGGTGGCGGAGGGGGGAGGGGGAAAGGGGGAAGGCGTGTGCCATGGATGGAATTCAGGTGCGCTCGGGTCAAGGTTCTACTTCGAACGGGCCGAGGTGCATCGCCGAAGAAGACGTATTCATGATGGCGTGCAGACGGATCGTGATGGTGCGATGTGTGTGGAGAGGGGCCAGGCTAAGCTGGGGGTCTTGATCATGTCTTGTCGTGGCTTGGAGTTACGAGGACGAGGAGGCTGGTCTCTCCTGGGTCATAGAGAGAGAGAGCAGTGATGCTTTACTTAGACTTGCCCCCCCCAGTAAAGTCCAGCATCTGTCGTCGTAGTTGAGAAGATGTCATCAAAGAAAATAGAGCAGTCCAGATGATGGGAGGAACGTGGATGTCTTGTACCAGATACATGTAAGCAGTGAAGAGAAGAAGAAGAAGAAGAAAGGTGTCAAACGACGCGACCGGAGGTATGTAGGAGATATTTCGTATGCAAGTGGAGACGATCCGGAGTTCGGACGGAAATGCACACTCCGGGCACTGCACGGGGCTACTGCAGGTGCGTCATGCGAATAGCCCGAGGGGGGTAATGATGTGACGACTCAGGGTCCTCTGTCATGTTCATACAACAGATTCAAAAAAGGAAACAGGGTGCTCGTACCTGTCTCCTCGTTATCGAGAGAGAAATACAATCACGTACTGATCCTAAAAGACCACAATCGGATCCCGTCAGTGTCGTAGATCTAAGATAAGTCAGATGCAGCCTTACGACCCCAAGGGTCTGAGTTGGTCGTACCCGGATCGTCAACCGGCAATGTTACTCCGTAAAAGTCATCGCGCATACTATCACTACGGGAGCCATGATAGCCAAACGAGAGTGCGCGTGCACACCGATCCCGCCGAAAAGCCCTAGAGAGACAGCCATGGTCGGTTGGAATACGACATCCTCCTCCTTTTGGAGTTTCCATTACTCAATCGCCCCAGTCTTGACAAGTCAGTGAAGCACGTACCCCATCCTCGTCGTATAAGATGCACTCGTTTATCATCACCATGGCCCTGCTCAGCCGACACAGCGGTCTCCCCTTCTCTTAACCCGAGTTCAATCACCCCAAGGACTGAAGGAGGATTACCCGTCAAAAGAAGAAGAAGAAGAAGAAGGAGAAGGAGAAGAGGAGGAGGAGAGAATCACGGAACACCCATCGTCATGAAGCCGTGGCTCTGGAATTTCGATATAGACCGCTACGTCGACTCTCTGGTACCGTCACCGCCATGGCTATACCTCCCCCGTCCCGTGTCGTGGTTCCTCGGCCATCGCCGCGAGGACGACGAGCCGCCAGAGATGGGCAACCTGGAACCCATAGCGTGGGCCTTTGCAGGTGTATTCAGCAGCATCCTCCTCATCGAGGGTGTGGGGAAGCGCATCGCCGCGTTTGAAGCCCATTCGGCGCCGCTGATGGTCGGCAGCTTTGTGAGTTTTATTTGAGTTTTTTTTCCTTCTTCTCTTTCCCTACCTAGTTGACCGGTCTTGAGAGGAAGAAGAGAGAGAGGAAGAGAGAAAAGAAGACATCGTCACTGAACATCTGGGCGGGGCAATGCAACTGATATCGCGCCAACCCCTTAGGGAGCCATGGCCGTTCTGGAATTCTACGCCATAGACTCGCCGCTGGCGCAGCCCCGCGGCGCCGTATTCGGAAACCTCATCGCCAGCTTCCTGGGCGTATGCGTGCAGAAGCTTTTCCTCATGGGCGACGACTTCGAGGGCACGCGCTGGGTCGGGGGCGCCCTGGCCTGCGCGGCCGCCACGTCGGCCATGGCCCTCACCGGGACGGTGCACCCTCCCGCCGGGGCCGCCGCGCTCCTCGCCGTGCTGGACGACGACGTCCTCCGTCTGGGATGGTGGTACCTTCCCCTCGTGATGCTGGGCGTCTCGCTGATGCTCTCCGTCGCCGTCGTCGTGAACAACATCCGTCGACGGTTCCCGCTGTACTGGTGGACTGCCGGGAGTCTGCGCGTGCCCGACGACGGCAAGCCAAGCCAGCAAGAGGCGAGGGGACGAGAAGAAGGAGAAGGAGAAGAGAAAGAAGGAGGAGGAGAGCAAGAGCGAGAACGAGAACAACAAGAAGGGAGGAGGGGGGAGGGGGAAAGGGAGGACGTCGAGTCTCGGGCTAGTGCGCACCAGCTCTCACTCATGCACGGGAAGGATGGTGAGATCGTTATACGTCCCGGTTTCGTCAGCCTCCCCAGGCATCTGGTTCTGGAGGAGGGTGAGAGGGCCTTTCTGGAGAGTTTAAGGTATAGGCTGTGAGGAGGCCCGGGGAGGGGACGGCATTTTCTCGAGATAGGACAGACCCCAACGTCATCGATATTTCGACCAAAACTGCACGCTCATGGATGGAACACATCGCCACAGACATGTACGTGATATGTCGTAGGCACTTTCACGAAGCCCTCGCCTTCGCACAAGATGATCCCACCGCCTCTTACCCATGAAATCTCCAACCGACCTCGGGACTGACCAAGAAGAGGGGGGGGGGGGAGGGAGGCAATATCGACATGCAGTGAAATGATGTCTCTTTTGAAGCAGACCAAGTATACCTAGATATGAAGAAACCAGACAACACCAGAACAGAGAGAGAAAAGAACACATATAAAACACCCCTTTCCTATCCGTCCATACCGTGTACCCAATCTCCCATTCGTGTTCCAAAAAAAAAGGGGAAAGAAATGGAAAGAAAAAAAAAGACGCTCTCGCTATCCGCATGAAATAAGAAGGAAAGAATGTCCCAAAAAGAATGACGAGACAAGAAAAAGACGAAACCGAGCCGAACCAAGAACAGAACAGAAACAGATGTACCAATTTATCCTGCGCCAGTCGCTCCTCTGTGCAAATTAAAGATACTAAGAAATACCGTCCATGAGCGTAAACGAGTAGCCCTCTGTTTAGATGATGATGGGCGTGTAAAAGATGTGTCGGTGACCATGTTCGTCAAGGCCGTGCAAGGGAAAGAAAAGAAAAAAGAAAGAGAGAGAAAAAAAACACGGGAGAATGCCATCCTTGCATGTTGACTGGACACACACACACATTTGGCGCGGCCTGTCTAGAAACTAAACAGTCCACTCCTCCTCTTACCCAGAGGATAGACGATGAGGGCGCTCATGAACAAGCCGACGCTGATACCGATGGCCACCTGTATCACCTTGAACAGCACCGTAAAGGCCGTCCCGTCCAGGCTGCTCGTCGTACTGCTGCTGCCATTCTTGCTAGTGAGCTCGTCGGCCGACGTGACGCCTGCGAGGAGGGAGCCCCCGGCCGCAAGTCCACTAGGCACCTGGACAAAGATGGCGGGGAGCATGGCGGCGGCGGCGAGGGAGTAGCCGACCTGGCGGGGTTGGCGGACCGGTGCCTTGGCCACGAGCGGCGAGCCGGGCCTGGACTCGGGGTCGGTCGGCAGGGGCCACTTCTCGCCGTGCCCGGACTTGCGGCGCCACCTCGCCAGGCGCGGCGCCACCTTGAACTGCCACCACTCGACCAGGTCCAGCCAACCATTCTCGACGTGGCGGCCCAGACGCGAGTACAGGTTGGCCAGGATGCCGATCGTCAGGGCGCCGAGCATGTTGGATATCTCGGTGTTCTGATTGAAGTACTCGCTGCAGTAGCTGTTGGTGCAGAAGCCGGCCAGGGCCATGACGAGCATGACGGGCGTCTGCTTCCACTTGGCCTGGTTGACGAGGCACAGGCACAGGGTGAATGCCGGCACGAACAGGAAATACCACTCGCGGCCGAGCGGGTCCTTGCACCCCGTCGTGCTCGGCGCGTTGGAGTCGAGCATGCCGTACAGCGAGGCGCCGATGGTGATGCCGTAGCCGAGGAAGAGGGTGTAGATCATGGCGTGCACCATGCGCACGCTGCCGGCGACGATGTTGTGGCTCTGGAGCTCGAGCGAGCTGCACAGGACCATGTAACCGGGGAGGATCAGGGCGATGGCGCTCTGGGCCAGGGCGCCGAAGCAGATGGTCTCGCCGTCGCCGATGGAGCCGAAGGCGCGGGCGAGGAACGACGTCAGCATGGCGGCCGACACCTCAAAGACGTGAGCGTACAGCTCGTTGCTGGGGGCGAAGACGAGCTGCAGGATGCCGACGAGGGATCCGAGTATGAAGGCAAACGGCATGTCGATGAAGCGGCCCTGGAAGGCAAAGGGCCCGACGCAGGCCGAGGCGACGCCGTAGAGGAAAACGCGGAACCAGACGCTAAACTTTGGCTTGCGTGACATGACGAGGTCGAGCTTCTTGGTGGCCTCCTCGACGCCCAGCTTGTCGTGCACAACCTCCTTGTAGATGTTGTGGACGTCGCGCAGGCGTCCGAGGTCGACACCCTGCGCGACGCGGACCAGCTTGACCTCGGCCGTGTGGGTGGTGCTGTCGTCGAAGCTGATGATCATGCACGAGGGCAGGTAGAGGAACTGGCCTTCGATCTCGAGGACGCGAGCCGACATGCTCATGTACTCCTCGAGGCGGTGGGTCGGGGCGCCGTACAGCATGAGGGCGCGGCACAGCTTGAGCAGATAGCGGTGCCGGGAGATGATGCCGGCGATGTGGATGGTGATGCGGGCCTTGTCCTTCTTGGGCTTGTGGTGGTGATTGTGCGGGGGGTGCTCCCGCTTAAACCTGTCAGCCATGCGGTCCGAGATCTCGCTGGATCCGGGGGCGGCGAACATGGATGTCGACGACTTCATGAGTTCAGTGAGGGTCAGGGACGAGGCGGAGCCTTGGGACCGGTGGAGGTTGAACAAACCGCTAGAACGGCCGGGTCTGGCGCCTCGAACTCGAGATGCAGATCTTGAGCGCGGAGGCGAGGATTGAGGGGACATGACGGGAGTGGAGACTGTCGAGAGCGCCGGCGTCGTACGGCCGCTGCTACCATTGCTTCCTCCTCCGCCGCCTCCCAGGCGTTCATGATTCTCGAGCTTGAGCAGGTAGGACAGGACGCCGCCGCGGTACTTCTTGGGGCGGGGGACGTAGTCTTGGACGTAGCCCTGCTCATCGACGGGCGTCGTGGTTCCCGACGCGTGGGCGGGCGTGCGGTAGAGCGAGTTGGAGTCGTCTTCGTCCTCGTCAAGGGTGTAGTGGACATGCTGGCTGGCAGCCATGCCGTGGTGGTTATGGTGCTGGCCGTCGTGGTCATCAAGAGGGAAGGAGTCCTGGTCGTCATCGGCATATGACATACGACGGCGCACGCGTTGACGGAGCTTGTGGGTGGCCGACACGCCGGGAGAGACAGTCGTGGCGCCAGAGCGAGTGCCTCCTCTGCGGCCACGGTCAGGCCATGGGGCAGCGGCACCTGAATTCCTCGAGGGAGCTGCCGCGTCCCTCGCACCGTCATAGTCCTCGACGACGACTGCGGGGCGGGGAGCTCTGCCGCGAAGGGGGTGGAGACCGCCTGAGTCACCGACCAAGCTCTGGAATGAGGCGTCCATGTCGTCAGAGTTCCTCCTAGAACCTGGGGCAGAGCGACTGCCCAGACTGCCCAATGACAGGGCCAGCTGGTCAGCCCTGTTTCGAGCATCCGTCATGGATCGCAGAGTTCGCTCATTGACCTGCTGCTCTGCCCTGTCGGCCTCCTCGCGGGCCTGGGGACCGTCGTAGCTGGTATTCCTGCGGAGAGCCGGCCTCGGGCGAGAGACGCCGAGGTGCAGGTTCGCGTCCTGATCGGTGGGCAGGAGGCGGGGGCTCTGATAGCTGCTGTTGCGATTGCTGCCCTGCTTGTGGCGAGTCTCCTGGTGAGAAGTGCTGGGGAGGGGCTGGAGCTGCATGGCCTGGCCGTCGCCTCCGACTTCGGGTGAGTTGGTGAGGATCTTGGAGAGGGCACGGCTCAGTTCCTGAGCATCGGGGGCGCCGGGCGGAACGGAACCAGCCTCTGGCGGCCTCGGAGATGGTGCGGGTGACTCAAAGTAGTCCTTCGCATCGGGGGGGGGAGGAGGTTGAGAGGAGCCCGCTCCTCCGCGGGCACTACCTCCGCTATCACTGGAGGCATGCCATCCCACACGCTTCTTCTCCTTGCGGAGAGGGGTTGGGATGCTGCTGCTACCAGCTCCGCTGTCGAGCTGTTCACTGGACATGGCTCAGCAGGCACTGGCACTGGACCGGCCAGCTGGGTGAGTCGGGGATGCAGGCAAGACTCGGGGTGCCTCTTCTTCTCTCGAGGCCTGGACCTCCTGATGTGGGAGGTAGGCGCACGGGTGGTGGCGGGAGGTAGGACGGTGATGATCTGCCCGACGTCTCCTTGGCTTGTAAAATCCCAAGAGGGGTTGGGGCCTAGGCAGCAAGGAATCTGGTTGATGATTCTATGAGACCTGTCTCTGGCTAAGGGTGTGTGCTGTAGCTACACCAAGCTTCTCGGCTTAAGCACAGGGTTGCGTCATTCTGTCTCGATGGTACTGTGTCGGATTAAAGCACGATATGATTTTTTTTCGTGAATGAGAGAGATGATGCCAAGATGAGAAGAGTAGAAGAAAAAGGTGAGAAAGGAGAGTGGACCAGCGGGGAGGGGGGAGAAGAGGGGGGGGGGGAGAGGCAAAGGAGGAGGGGCTGTGTTTCTGGGTCGAGTATTTTTAAGAAGAGATGACAAGGGAGAGAAGGATAGAAGAGGTTATGGAGTAGTCGGAGGAGGGAAGATGTTCACATTTAGGAAGAGCGGAGGAGGGTCTGAGGAGGGTCAGAAGAGTTATGAGAGCGGAGCCGCCGGCCACGATGGCGAAGAGTGGGAAAGAAAGGAAAAGCGGGTCGATTTAGCTTCTGGGTCCTGGGTTCTTGGCTTCCGGGTTCTGGACAGGCGACAGGTACGACGGAGGAGGAGAAGGAGTCACCTCATGTTTTTTTTTTCTTCGTTTTTTTACGACCACATACTCGTATACTCGTACTGGATTACGGTCTACAAGTATTACCAGTGTACAAGTCTAATGTAGTGATGATGCGCCCACGGGCCACAGACCACGGGCCACAGACCACGGACCACACGGCTGGCTTCCTGTATCCCACACCTGTACTCGGTAATAGCGTAGGTCGATATCTACGGAGCATTGTCCTCCTGTATATCGGTACTGAGACGAGCATGATCAATATTCCCATGTACTTTTATTACTGCTACTCTTGTCAAATTAAAATCTTCTCCGTAAGCCAAAATCTAGAGTGCAGGGGCAGGAATGTTGCTGTGGACTCGGTGTCTGAGATGTCATTATGCCAGCATCAGCCAGGAGGGAGCCGGTATGTCCTCTTCTGCTCGTACTACGAGCAGTCAACGGACGTTCATCCGCACAACCGGCGACCCGTAATACACCCTGCGGTAGGGAAGATGAGGGAGGAAGGCGGTACTACGACAAAGAAGATTACGACTCCCGGGACAGTGAGGGGGGGAGACGTGTACGAGGTGGAGTCGGGAGGCAGACACATAAAAATACAGTCGTACAGCGTAAGTTGCGGCTATCAAGATTTTTTGTGGTCAGGTTCCTGTTCTGTCAGCTTGGTAGTATTAAGTGACACGAGGCCTTGATAGTGATACACGGTTCGCCGTCATGAGCCTACAAGTAAGTACCTGTGACATGGAGAGAGATGGCACTCAGGTACGACGACGTTGACGATGGATGGCGACAACGAACCGAGCGTCGGAGAAGCGGGGCGACGGAGGAGGGGGCAAAGGTTTGCGACAGAGTTTTTCTCCGCCGTACGCCGCTGTACGGAAGCTCTCCAGCTACAGGTACGAGATGTCTGTCCTCGTACCTATAATAGTAAATGATAGTGTATGCAGTACCGTTACCGGATTTGTAGACTGTACTCCGTATGAATAGTAATGATGATAAAATACAGATTACATATTATAGAGTAGGGGAGGGAGTAGGGGGTGTAAGGGAGTGTCCATCGCCTCTCTCTTGGGACCACATTATCTACTCCATAGCGATGATATCGGCGACGAGTGATGGATGATGGTCTGGATAGTCTGGCATTGCATGTCGCTGATCACTCCATATCTATAGATATACTCCAACGTACAGCTAACAAGTTCGAGATGAAACGAATGCGCGCACAGCAAATGTACAGGTGAAACACGCAGACGATCTCCAATATTATGCCATGACATATAATACTAGAGTAAGAGATACGGATACGGTACGAGTATATGATGGTTGATACAGCACACATCACACTTGTCGTTATCTCGTGCGTGCGTGTGTGTGTGTGTGTGTGTGTGACGTGCATGGGTGTGCCCTCCCCGTCTCTCTGTTTGGCTGTTCTGTCTCTTTCCGGCACTTTCTGGCTGCACGACATTTTTTCTCTCTTCTCCCTTTCTGTACACACAAACAGGCGGTGCAGGCGCGGTCGGGGTGAGGTGCCAGATACGTACGCACCTACTAGGGTGAAGGAAGTGATGATGTAGTCAGTGGTCAGCTGGTGATGTACAGCGTCTATCGTCCACTGAAACTCTGTCCTATACGGGCGCTGTAAAGGTCGGCAGGGTGTACGGAGTAGATAAGATATATGTAATCTGCACTCGTAGGCCAAGCTCTGAGCCTAGCGCCCGAGCCAGATGCACACTATAGAACCCTCCCCCTGGGGACACACCAGGTCAGCGAAGTGGGGGACCCTGTAAAAAAGACTACTGAAAACCTGTAGTGCGAGAAGCTTGACAGTAGGGGTCGAGAAGGAGAAGAAAACCGTTGCGAAGATGCAGATTGAGAAAAAATCAACACCCGTTGAGCATCATGCAAACATGGCCGAGCTCGGCCGGGATAGACGGCGCACTATTCTCGTACACGATGAAATGGTTCCGTGGGTCGTGGCATCTCGCATAGTGGTGTGTTGCTCTGTTGGTAATGGTGCGTGTCTGCAGCGTCGCTGTGTGACATGACTGGACGCGCGTAAGAAAAAAAATACACCCTCACCCCTGTACCCTGGAGCTTTTGAATTCGCCACCGAACCAGGGGGGGGGGGGGGGGGGGGGGGGGGAACCCCCCCCGGCGTCTTTTTTGAAAAAAAAAAAAAAAAAAAAAAAAAAAAAAAAAAAAAAAGAAAAAAAAAAAAAAAAAAAAAAAAAAACCCCCCCAAAAAAAAAAAAAAAAAAAAA